GAGTACTTCAGTTTTCCTTGCCAATCTTCATTCCACCAAATTCTCCATTATCGTAATCACCCAGGGCAGGCTACAATAGGCCAATCAGTGGCCGCCGTGCCAAGTGGACCCAGTTGGACTCACCCCCCACTAAGCAAATTAATTCTGCATCTTCTCAGCAGACATACATAAAATTCCATGGAGCAATAAAGGTGCCCACATCAGTTTTTCATATCATCAAGGAATTAGCCTGTTCAAGTCTTAAGGATTAGAACTATTAATTTGCTTTATAATTTTTCAGACATTTCTGCCCTTTGATATAAATTAACATGGTGACTTCAGGATTTGGTTTTCATCCAGGCACTATTCCGATTCATTATTCTTACTCATCATAATTTCAGAAACCAGTGCTTCAGTGTCAATCAGCAACAACACCCAATACAACAACAACAAATTATGCAGCAACAGTTAATGATGCAGCAGCAGCTAACGCAGCAACAGCAAATGATTCCATACCCACAAGCACCATTACAACCACAGGTAATGTTACAGCAACCAACAATGCCCCAACCGGTCATGCAACAACCCCAACCGTACCAGTACCAGCAAACCAATCGCAGTGTACCCCCGCAACAATCGTCCAACGTGCAACCATCAACCATCATGTCTCAGCGCACTAACCAACATGGTGACAAAAACACCAACAAACAAAACTCATCAACAAGCGATCGAGTGGACGACCCGCCAACCACCACAAAATACACCTGGCAAACTATAAAAAGGAAAAGGATGCGTTTGACCCCAGAAGAGGCAACAGAAGACCAGTTTCAACTCAACACCCAAAATAAATTTGCAGAGCTATCTGACCTTGAAGACGAGGATATGCAGACAAATGACACGAACAAATCCACCATCAATAGCAACCAACCAAGGGAAAAAAAACCGCCCCCGATATACATATACGGGGTGACAAATTATAGAGAAATGATTAAATATATAAGCGAAGTCGTTGAAGAAGAGCAGTATTATTGCAAAGCACTCCCCAAAGAAACAATCAAAATCAACACTAATACCGCAGACACCTACAGGAAACTAATTAGGAAAATCCAGGAAGACAAGATTATGCATCACACCTACCAAATCAGAGACGAAAGGGCTTACCGTATTGTCCTGCGAAACCTGCACCATACAGTACCCACAGAACAAATAAAAGAAGAACTACAAAACCATGGCCACACAGTCCGCAATATACTAAACATCCAACACCGACAAACGAAGGAGCCACTGCCCCTATTCTTTGTGGATATAGAACCGAAAGAAAACAACAAGAATATTTACGACATCGAATTCCTGTGCAACTCGAGAATCAGGGTGGAGGCCCCAAGAAAGAAAAACACCATCGTGCAATGCACAAGGTGCCAGTGCTACGGACACACTAAATCATATTGCATGAAACCGTACGCCTGCGTCAAATGCGGAGAAGAGCATAATTCCACCAGTTGCAAAAAAAGCCCAAATACCCCACCAAAATGTGCGCTCTGTGGAGGCACCCATCCGGCCAACTACAAAGGATGTAACATATACAAAAACCTACAAAACGCAAGACGCGGAGCTCATTCATCGAAACTCACCGCTGCATACAAACCAAACCCAATCATCAACACGACCGATCTGAACGAATTCCCCTTTCTACCTACCACCCAACAACAAGTGTTAAACAACAGCAACAACAACAACAGCGATAACATCAACTTTGTCCCAATACCATTGCACCAACCCACCCCCTACTCTCAGATAGTCACACAAAATCAGCAACCACCCAACGTAACCGAACAACTTTCCGCATTCCTAAACGAATTCAAAGCCATGTTTAACCAATTAATCAGTCAAAACAGCATGATAATCAACATGCTCAGCACGGTCATCAATAAAATTGTGAACTAATTCAGAACCCACTACGATTGGCAGTCTGGAATGCCAATGGGCTATCCAGTCATAAAATGGAACTACAAACATTCCTTAGCATGCACAAAATAGACATCGCCCTCATATCAGAAACGCACTTCACCAGCAAAACTGTACTCAAGATCCCTACCTACAAGATATATCACATTCATCACCCAGACGACAGGGCCCACGGGGGCGCAGCCGTGATCGTCAGAAACTCGATACCTCACCACGAACTTGTGCACTATCAAACCGACAAAATACAAGCCGCTAGTATACGAGTCACTGCAAAGCCATGGCCATTTACCGTAACCGCAATCTACTGCCCGCCGAGACATCCAATCTCTACCAGCGAATACACCACTTTCCTCCAATCGCAAGGAACTCGATTCCTCATAGGTGGCGACTGGAACTCAAAACACATAGACTGGGGAGCGAGGCTAACAACGCCAAAAGGTAGAAACCTACTTCAGGCCATACACGCTAACAACTGCAAGCATATCAGTACCAGAGAACCGACGTACTGGCCATCCGACCTTAACAAGAAACCCGACCTACTAGACTTCTTTGTCCTCCGTGGCATAACAGCCAGCTACATCCAAGTCGAATCGAATTTCGAACTATCGTCTGACCACACCCCAGTGATAGCAACACTAAGCAGATACCAAATAAACAACCCCAGCATGCCAACGCTCAGTACAAACCAAACCAACTGGGATAACTTTCGCACGTACATCGACGAACACATCAACCTAAATCTAAGAATCAAAGAACCTCAAGAATTAGACGAAGCCACACAACATTTCACTACCACAATACAAGCGGCAGGATGGTACTCAACCCCAACCATAGCCGATAAACGAAACAACGACTCAAATAACATCCCGGTCTCCATCAGAGAGCTGGTTGTAATAAAACGACAAGCGCGGGGCAGATGGCAGAGATCGAGAAATACTGAAGATTGGCTTACCTACAACCGATTGAGGCGAAAACTACACAGAGCGCTAACCAAAATGAGGAACAACACCTTCGAACGATACATCACATCCCTCAACAAAGAAGATCATACAATCTGGAAAGCCACAAAAAAGTTCAAGAGACCACAAACCGCAATACCACCAATAAGAAAAGCCGATGGTACATGGGCGAAAAGCGATCCCGAAAAGGCGACAACATTTGCTGACCACCTCAAACAAGTGTTCTCACCCCTCCCAAATATCAATGGAAATCAAGAAGAAATAATAAACTTCCTAGACGTGCCTTGCCAAATGGCACCACCAATCAAACCGTTCACTCCAGGAGAGACACAACGGGTAATAGAAAACCTAAACGAGCACAAAGCACCCGGCTACGAGCTCATCACAGCAACCATACTTAAACAGCTTCCACGAAAAGCGATAGTGCTCCTAACAATCATCTTCAACGCTATGATCAGACTGTCGTACTTTCAGCCCACATGGAAATTTGCGCAGATCATAATGATCCACAAACCCGGCAAACCACCTAATGAAACAAGCTCATATCGCCCAATCAGCCTCTTGCCAATCCCGTCAAAAATATTTGAAAGACTGCTACTAACCAGACTCGAAAAAGATGTAGACTTATCCACTATCATTCCTGATTACCAATTTGGTTTCAGGAAGAAGCACTCAACAATACAGCAATCCCACAGAATCGTAAACACAATAGCAGCTAGCCTTGAGGAAAAAAAGCTATGCACAGCCGTATTTCTGGATGTTGCCCAGGCCTTCGATAAGGTCTGGCATGCTGGCCTACTATACAAGATCAAGAAGGCTCTTCCTGGCCCGTATTACCTCATACTAAAGTCCTACCTAACGGAAAGACATTTCCAAGTCAAATTCAACCATGACTATTCACAATGCCACCAGATACGATCAGGAGTACCACAGGGCAGTGTTCTGGGCCCCTTACTATACCTAATATATACTGCAGATCTCCCCACAACAACCAAAACAACAGTGGCTACATTCGCGGACGACACCGCAATCCTAGCAACAAGTAACGATCCAATAATAGCCTCGGAAAATCTCCAACAACACCTAAATCTTCTGCAGCACTGGTTCCACAACTGGCAGATCAACATAAACCAGAACAAATCGGTCCACATTACCTTCACAACAAGACGAATAGTATGCCCACAGGTATCGATAAACAACATTCCCATACCAGTTAAAAACGAAGTGAAATATCTAGGTCTACACTTAGACCAGAAATTGACATGGCATAAGCACATCAAAACCAAACGACAGCAGATAAACCTAAAACTAAAGGAAATGTCTTGGCTCCTGGGACAAAAATCTAAACTATCCATGAACAATAAACTACTCCTATACAAATGCATCATCAAACCAATATGGACATATGGGATTCAACTCTGGGGTTGTGCTAAACCGTCACACACAAAAATCATACAGAGAATACAGTCAAAAATCCTACGAGCAGTCACAGATGCACCCTGGTATGTGTCCAACTTAACTCTTCACAACGACCTCCAAACTCCTTTCGTCAGTGACGAGATCCGCAGACTGTCGAGACTATACAGCGCACGACTAGATGGACATAGCAACAAACTCATAGCGGCCCTGAATACTCCGCCAAAGGTGCCAAGGAGACTAAAACGGCAATGGCCTACTGACCTCCCCGAAACCGCTGAAGACACGGCAAACAATATCAACCATCTACAGGACTGATAGGAGATTCATCAGAGGATGAATGCTCCACTCATGCCACTCACCCACAGATTTACTCAATGCTCCACAATAAGAGAGCAGATTGTAAATACGCAGTTAATCCAAAAAAAAAAAAATCATAATTTCTGAGAGTATAATTTTTTTGTGTGGGCAATGTGTACATCTGAAGGATATTAATTCAATCAATGCAACTTTCAAAATTATGATAAACCTTACTAAACTTAAACATCCACCAACTAACATTTACCAGACATGCACCACATAACTGCAATGCTGAATGCGCACAATTCAGACAGCTAAGAAATGCATTTTATTACTATTAATACCATTAACCCTGAGTTATAATATTGTCACCAGACCTGTAGATTTAAAATCCTCCATTCTCAGATCATTATCAAGTTAAATATGGGTTCCAACTATATAATCCTGGACAATTTAAAATCCTCTATTGCTGGATATTAAAAGTTGAGTAAAATTTCCTTCCCTCTTCTTCACTACAAAACAATTTTATTATGAGGTCCCTTCTGATTATTACTCTGTATAAAATTAAATGAGTATAAAAGCAATAACATATCAGTTGGATCTATGAGTGACATAGTCCAATTTATTATGAGGTGAATGTTCTATGTTAACACCAGCACTATGCAATGTTTTTAAGTCAGGTTCAGTAGTAACAGAGGATATTTCAAGGTCATACATAGTATTCACCAGGCAACAGACACTGCACTCCAAATGCCTTTACTTCCAATACATAACAGATAAGAGGCTGAATGGGCCAGTTTCATTGAGGATGCTGTAGAAAAGAGGCAATTCCCGAACAACCCTGTCAAGGGTCACACATGTCACTTCGGGGTACGTAGCTGGTCACATCACTGACCTGAGCTATAATGCATTTCTTGACTATTCAATTCATAGGTCACTAAATTATAATTTAAGAGGAGTTAATCCTCCCTTGCCAGTGAACCAAGTGAGCCAAAGGCAAGTTCCTTTAGGTCCACCGTGATCCAACATACTCCACAACTGTGTTTCCAAATTGAAAGTGAAAATTGATATTACATATGTATCCTAGCATTTCTAAACTCTGTAAGCTTCCAGTTTTTTTCACATGTTACTTTTTCCAGTAGCAGATTAAAGCTCTCCGCACATCCTTTGTCAAAAGTCATTCTTAACTCTTTTCTATATGCGACAGGATTGTTCTTTCTTAGGCAAATTCCATTAAGCATAACACAACAAAATTACATGAACAAAGACCATGAACACAACATTCAAAAAGAATATTCTGCATTCGAATTGTGTTTTCAATGTCCATTTTTACTTTATGGTTTCAATTTATTACAGGCAATTTTAAACTGGTTTTCACTCTATATTCTTAACACTTAAGACATCTTCAGGTTTCTGTTTAAGCTATGTTTCATTTTAGACAGGTCTTACTGAACAAATTAAGAAACAGCACAACCATTAAAATATTTTATTTTCATCACCTCTGCATCTTGTCTTGGGCACAGGACCCCCCCCCTTCTCTCTCTCTCTCATAAGGCTGATTCAGATTTTGTGATTCAACCTGGGAATTCTTGTACGCATTAAACTTGTAGCACCATGCTTAGCAATAAAAGGGCTATGCCACATCAGTCTATAGATGTTCATATATCATGAAGTGTGAAAAGGTTGCTAAACTGAAGGAGTACAAACCTCATTATTTCTTCCACAGTGTATAAGATCATAAAAGAATTTCATTACAGATGCATTTGCATCTCTGTGATCCAGTGTACTTGCTAGCACTGCACACTGGATAATGGAATGAAGAGCTGGACACTGCAGAAAGGGAACAGGTGCTCTCTGTAAAAACCTGCAACAGTAAATCTGATATCATTCTTCTGAAACAATGTTACTGAAGCTACACACTTACCAGATTTACCTAACAATAAAACAAAGCCATATATGAGTGGAGGTCAACAATGTTGACTCAGTTCACCAGCCAGGCAAGTGAGTGTGTTTAGAGATGCAACAGCATTTTGGCTATTATTGCCTATATAAAATTAAAAAAATACAACTGGACTTACAGAACACACAAACAAGATGTAATGCAAATAATTAAGACCAAAAACACAGTTCTGAAAAAATGTGAAGTTCTAATGCTTTATTAGACATACACGGTCCAGGATCCATTAGGACTCATTTTTTTAAATTTTGTTCTGCAATGCCATCTGTTGACGAGTTCTGGCGTTAAGAATCTTGAAGTTTCAGCTGTGGCTGTCTATAACTTCAAAGTGTAAGCATCGCTGCATCATGTGTTCTGACCTTCAATGTAACAGTACTGTTCTGACGCTCGTCGGAAAATGGCGGTTGAACAAAGAGCCAACATCAAATTTTGTTTGAAGTTAGGCAAAACAGCCGGAGAAGCATATGAAATGATGAAAAATGTGTACGGTAGTGATTGTTTGAGTCACTCGAACATTTTTCAATGGTATGCTGTATTTCGTGACGGCAGGGAGGACATTGAAGACGCTCCACATGCATCAAAGCCAAGAACAAGTCGCACTGAAGAAAATGTGAAAAAAGTGACCAAAATCCTTGCATCAGACAGATGTATTTCTGCAAGACTCATCGAGGAGCTTTTGGGAATACCAAAAAGTACTGTGTATCAAATTTTGACCGAGGATTTGGGCAAACGGAAGGTCTGTGCGCGGTTTGTACCACACGCAGTCAGGAGTGGAACACTGCAAAGACATGTTACAGTCGGCCCAAAGTGATACAAAATTTACACAATCGATTATTACTGGTGATGAGACATGGTGTTTTCAATATGAGCCTCTCACAAAGCGGCAGAGTGCAGCGTGGTTGAGCCCAAAGAAAGTGTGCATGCAAAAGAGTCGAGTAAAGATACTGCTAACCATTTTCTTCGATTCCAAAGGAATCATTCACAAGGAATTTCTGCCAGAAGGTCAAACAGTGAATTCTGATTATTATCTCGGAGTCCTCAATCATTTCTGAGTGAGAATTCTTTGAATTCAACATGAATATCGAGAGCAAGGTTCCTGGTCACTCCTACACAACAATGCCCCATCCCACAAACTGAAGATCGTGAACGATATTTTGGCCAGAAAAGGGATCACAGTCCTTGATCATCCTCCGTATTCGCCAGATTTGGCTCCAGCAGATTTCTGGTTAATCCCAAAAGTTAAGTTGGCGATGAAAGGAGACCATCACGATACCATCCAGGACATCCAACGGCAATCTATCGCAGTTTTAAATGTGATTCCACAAGAGGAGTACAGTGACTGTTTTCGAAAACTTTTCAATCGATTCCAGCTATGTATTGATTAAGGAGGAGACAATTTTGAATAAAAAGAGTGAAATTTTGAAAATAATTCACGTCTTGTATTTTTAATGAACACAGTCCTAACACAACCTGGACACACTGTGTAAAACTGTAAATCACTTTGACTGACTGAGGTTGCATATATATACATGTAAATACATATATGCATATACACGTGTTTATATGCTCTTTGTGAAAGTATCATGTAAAAATATCACCTAATAAGAGGTAAACCACTGGTCACAGTCCACTGACTATCTGAGCCCAATGCTGACCAGACAGATAAGAATTCTACAGAAATTCTTCAGACATTTCTGCACAAGAGATACCATACGAGATGAATATAGTACATAAAGTTGAATCAAAGATTTATATAAAGATTTTAATTCAGACAAAATGTGGTTGAGTTGACTTGATATACTGTGATCAATGTAATAGTAGCTTCCCCAACGTGTTGTTGTTATTTGCCTTCTGAAGACGGTCATAACTGAACAAAACATGTAAAGGCATCAGATAAATATACATTTGAGTCACACTGGATGGTGTTGTCAAATCATTCTATAAGATCAATGAACATTCATAAATCAGGCAAACATTTGTCAAATTACACTCGCATATCCACAAATTATGAATCTATATTTCATAAACCACTGTTCTACTTCAATTGCATAAACTGAATGGGAGTAATCTATTGATAAACCCTTGTACAAAGCAACTATGTCAATCTGAGTTAAACCTAAAAGAGTAGTCCTTTTCAAATTTTCCAACTAAAAACACTGAATAAATCTCTTATCTCTCCCATGCTTGCTCCTTGCCCTTTCTATCACTTTCCCCCTGATTTCATCAGTCTAATAACATAGGGTGAAGAGTAAAACCTATGAGGCTTCTCATTAAGCCATGTCCTCCAGTCTCCTGTTACTTCCTCATTCTTAGGTCCAAATATTCTCCTTAGGACATCGTTTTCTGTCACCCTCAATTTATGGCATCCTATCAAAAAGAGAGAGACTCTGCATTAAGAAACAAAACTCATCTTTCTTAAGTTCGCTGTATGGTATGTTAAGATATGTCAGAACAAATGTATAAATTTAATTTATTCTTAAATTGAAACACCTGACTATAGATTATTATCTTTTTGTCTTATTTCTTTTACACTTATCCCACATATTTACCTTGCACAAAGTCTAAAAAGATCATCCACAGTATCTGGATGATTCTTCAGTCCATTCGTTTCTTGTAATATTATAAATGTGGGTATTAAAAATGCTTGTAACATGTCTAGCAGTCCCTGCACACAGCCAGGTTCAGTGGCATATTCATCTACTAGAATGCTCCCCAAATACAGGAAACAGCTATGTTGGTGCCTCTGATAAAGGCTCACAATCTATAACAAAAAGAGTATGGTTTCATCACTAAACAGTTACAATTGGCAAAGCATAAGGGTTAAAAAATGATGAGGTGAAGTGAAGGTGGGATGGAAATCAGCAAAAAATGCAGTCAAGTAAAGTGAGGTGAGGTGAGGTGAGGTGACGTGAGGCGAGGCGAGGCGAAGTAAAGTGAAAAGTGTTGAGGATGGGAGGATTACATAAGTGTAGTAAAGCAAAATGAGGGGAAAATTAGAACATAACATTACAAATTAATTACTGTTTGCTTATTATATAGCATGTTTCACTTTTCTACTAACATTTGTGTGCTGTGTTTTGTTTGAATGTGTTTAAGTGTGTTATTTGTCTGTTGTCTTATTGTAGTACCACTGCCACTGTGGGAAAACCCATTTGNAATAATAATAATAATAATAATAATAATAGAATATAATTAAACTGTGGTCTTCTAATTAGTAACAACATGTAGTGGTGTAGGCAGATATCAATATTTCGGAGTACATACTGTGTCAGACTTCAGGGATGAAGTGTGTAGGATGAGGAACTGATCGGATTATATGTGCAGATTGCAAGGGAGGTGCTCACTCAGACCTGTGGAGAGAGGAAGGGGACATAGAGTTCAGTCTGGGGCAAAGAGGAATGGTAAACAGGAGAAGACCCTTTTCAGGGCCTCAATACTGTTTTTTTTGCCAAAGGTGGGATAGAGAATTGGCAGAAATGATGTCTAGTCTCACAATTCGACATCCATGTATAGTCATATGGGAACCTCCCACATTCTAACAGATAACAGGCAACTCCCAGAACATAAGAGGAGGCAACATTTATACATCGCTTGCAGCCCGGCTCTCTGGACACTAGCACTATCCCATCAGCGCTCACAATTGCAGCTCCAGCGCCAATATTTATATATTGCTTGCAGCCCAGCTCTCTGGACACCAACACAAGCGCTATCCAATCAGCGCTCATAATTGCAGCTCCAGAGCCAATTGGTCCGCGTGCCGTCCAGCGGTAATGGTATAAAAATGTGGGCCTCCAACTGGCTATCATCAGTCTTGCATCAGTCGCTGTTACACTGCCATCAAGGAAGCACCACAGCTGCAACACACTGACTCTGCAGCACATGCACCATAGGCAGCTGACTCTACCGACGCACACACCACAGCTCCACTGGCCATCCGGACTCACCACTGCTCGCCACTATCTGGTCAGCTCACAATCCCAGGTTGCCACAAGGGAGCATGCCACGCCTGGTAGCTCGCTACAAGAAAGACTCAGCTAGACAAAATGGCCCTTTTAGGGGTCTCCACACAGCACCATCATCACTAGACTGGGCTAACCACTATGAAAGGAGTCTCCATCAGTTTTCTTCGGACACACTCATCACTCATCTGTGATGCACGTTCTGGTGCAATGAACATTTGTTGTTGTAGTTTCAAGTGGTTGTCTCAGTGAACACTGACATCCCACAGTCATAAACATCTCACTACATAATAACTTTCACTTGTTCAAAATACCAGCAAATTAATCACCTATAAATATAATTTAATATACTTGTATCTGTACCTGTTTAACGAGTGGCTCCAGAAGGTGAGCTGATTGTTTACCTACACACCGAACAGCAAACCTCAGGCATCTACAACATCGTTCCATCACTCGTCCATCCGCCTGGTACTTTGTGCAAGCATTGGACAAGATAGGCCACATCTGTGAAATAATATAGAGATAGAAACAGGCACCAACAGAACATACAAATTCACAATTCTATATTCTCATTAGTGGGTGGAGTTTGAGAATGTGATGTATTTTACATTGCTGCTGTGGCCAGCTGGTTGAAGTGAGGAAAACTAACACTGTACATACATTGTGCGGAAAGTTCTCAGACCAGGTCAAAAATAAAATTCTGGCTTAACTTACTTAATTTTGGCTGCCATCTCCTTCAAAATAGTCTCTTTTGGAATGTATACAGTGATCCCATTGTTTTTACCATGCTTCAAAGGCACCATGGAAGTCATTTTCCTTAATGCTAATACCATTTGCGATTCCTTTTGGATATCAGACCCTGTTTCAAAACATCATCCCTTCTGTTTCATGTTCAATTTGAGAAATAAAGTGAAATCACAGGGGGCTAAATCCCACAAGAAGGGAGGATGGAGAATGACAACCATGTTGTTGTTAATCACAAATTCTGTGGTTTTCAGGGACATGTGGGTGGGAGCGTTGTCGTGATGGAGCCAGTTTCGGTTGCACCAAGTTCCAGTCTTTTCTGTTGCACATTTTCTCTCAAGTTCATGGTGAACAATCCCCTTCATGTCGAAAAAAACAATGAGCATGCTTTTTGTTGAACTCCGGGCCTGCCTGGCCTTTTTGCTCTTGGTGACTAAGGGCTCTTCCACTACGATTGTTGCTTTGTTTCTGGATCATAACTGTAAGTCCAACTTTTGTGAGCAGTTATGATCCTAAAGATAAAAGTTGGGTCCTTGTTAGCCTCCTCTTTTAGCTCAAGACACACATTTACATGCTACTGCTTTTGATCATTTGTCAAGAGCCAGAGAACAGACTTTGTGGCAATGTGGCACATGTTCAAATTTTCTGTTAAGATCTCCTGGCAAATTCCATAACTGATCTCAACGGTGGGTGTTACAGAGCTTAAAGAACATAAAACCTGAATGAGAACTGTTCCTGACTTGGAAAACTTATTTCTTTTCTTGAAAAAATTTTTGAGTATAATAATTTCTTTCTGGATTTATCTATCTCTGAAACAAATGCTGGGATAGTGCCTTGAAATTAGCCATGACTGTTTCCTTCCACATCCCTTCTAGTCACCAGTTATAATCACCATCTCATCTTACCAATAAGATATAAAGCATACAAGAATACACTGTCGACACAACAGAGCTGTGTATTTTAAAACAAATAAGACACTGCTGCATCAACATTTGTTTTTATTAAAGCTTTTATGGAAGCGACATGTTTCGACCCTTATACTGGGCCATCATCAGGCGGATAATGTTCGGCTTCTTGGTTTTAAGATGCGGAGTGCTGCTGTGTAGATGGTGTATTCTTGTATGCTTTATATCTTATTTGAGACACACAACAGGATGCAAACTATTAAGATCATCTTGTTCACACTAACTCTTCATGGCTGCAACCCCTAGTCAATATCTGCCTCCTTGCCATGTCTCTCCAACACTGGCTAGTACGAGGAGTGAATGCCTGGAGACTCACTCAACAATCCTTTCTGCTAACCAACTTATCCCATTTGGCCTTGTTATATAGCCTCAGTGTAAACTGCATAGGAAACACCGCTTCCGGCAGGTCTTCTGTTGTTGTGTGCACATATCCATTGCCAAGGAGACATGTTTCCAGAGATCATCTTACCAATGTTACATGATCATCATCATCATCAGCTTCTTCTTCTTCCTCCTCTTCCTCTTCTTCTTCTTCTTCTTCTATGGCGCAACAGCCCGATGTCGGGCCTTGGCCTCCCTTATCAAGCCCCTCCATTCCTCTCTATCCTGCGCTGCTCTCTTCCAGTTCCTTACGCCCATTAACTTCTTTGCATCTTCTTCCACCGCATCAATCCATCTAGTTCTTGGTTTCTCAGCATGTCTCCTACCACCTATTGTACTGTATAATATTGTATTTGGGATACGCTCCTTAGCCATTCTCTGTACATGCCCAGCCCATTGCAATCTTTTAAGCTTTATCGTCACTGAGATCTCTGGCTCCTTATATAATTTGTATAGCTCTATCTTATTTTCCATATCCCATTCATTACACGAACATAGCAATTGTTAAAGCAGTCGTAAAATAAACCAAGAACCATATTTTAATTTACATTTACACTGTTAGATTTTAAAAATGTATATTTTAAATGATTTTCCAAAGCTACAGTATAAAGCAGACCACACTTTTCTTTATGTTGTAACATTCTTATTTCCCTGATTTTACATTTGGTTCAGGTGGTACCTTAAAACTGTAAAATCAAGGGTTCACTGTATAGTCAAACAATCTTTTCAGGAAACTTTAAGTTAATTTCAGTGCAGAAGTGAGACATTTTGATCATCTACTGTGATGGTGAGTTCTTCTAAGCAGTTATATCTATGTCTGGATTCTATCTTCTTGTGAGATGATGGCTAAGGTTTCGGCTAACAGGCTGAATATAAGACAGTCAGGTAATTCAGCCCTTCAAGAAAGAGTCTGTACATCCCCATTTTATGATACTACTGGATGAGCCCCTTTCTGTTTTTATTCTGAGCATTCTATCTGTCATCTGAAAAAAAAAAAGAGAAAAATCAACTTTTTCATAAAGTAGTATGAAGGACTCATTTTTAACACATTCAACACATAACAACGTCGTTGCCGACGCGCTCTCCTGCGTCGAATCCGTCACGGCGCCACCATCCTACGACGCAGTGACCGCATCGCAGGACAGCGACAAGGAGCTCCAATCACTTCGGCAGTCAAACACGGCTTTGCGGCTCGAAAAGCTACCAATCCCCTGTACCACGGTGTCCATCTACTGCGATACCTCTGCCGGGAAACCTCGGCCGTACATCCCAGCTCCTCTTCGGTTCCAAGTGTTCCAGTCCGTCCATGATCTGTCGCACCCAGGGACCAAAGCAACGGCAAAACTGGTCGCACAGCGTTTCGTGTGGCCAGGCGTGCAGAAGGATTGCCGCTCCTGGGCACGTGCTTGCCAGGCCTGCCAGCGCTCCATAGTCTCCCACCACACAGTCACTCCACTGGGCGACTTTACAACGCCAGCAGCCAGATTTCTTCACGTCCACATAGACCTTGTTGGACCCCTTCCGACGTCAGGAGGCTACACATACTGCCTCACTGCAGTCGACCGTTTCACCCGTTGGCCAGAAGCCATCCCCATCCCGGACATCACAGCCGACACAGTGGCACGAGCCCTACTGACCGGCTGGATATCCCGATTCGGTTGCCCACAGACCATCACCACCGACCAGGGACGTCAGTTTGATTCTCAACTCTTCCACTCCCTGGCCAAGCTCTGTGGCATTCAACTATCGAGATCGAATTGAAGAGAAGAAGAAGAGAAAACCCATGAAAAAATCAACATATAATGATCTCAACAAAGCAATGCTGATCTGGTTTAATCAACTAAGGGCACAGGCAACAACAACAGGAGTAGTTTGTGCTAAACAAGCGAAATTTTTTTCTGAAGTACGTGAACTACAAGGAAGTTTTGACGCTTCTTCCAGTTGGCTAACACGTTTCAAGCAGCGTCATGGAATATGAGAAATTAGTATTCAAGGTGAGAAATTGTCAGGGGACTTGTCATCATCAGTTCAATTTTGCATCAATTTTGATAGTTTCGTGAAAAGTGAAAATCTGCTGCCAGAACAAATCTATAATGCTGATGAAACGGGTTTTTATTGGAAATGCTTGCCAACCAGAATTTTGGCATTTCAAAACGAAAGACCGGCTCCAGGTCACAAATCCAGTAAGGAGAGATTGACAGCATTAGGAACACACAAACTAACACCAGTAGCTATCAGCAAAGCGAAAAGACCACGCTCTTTTAAAGGAACAGTAGCTTCAAGTCTGCCTATCCACAATTTTAATCAGAAAGGAGCTTGGATGAATAGAGCGATATTTAAAAAATGGTTTGATTTTAAATTTGTGCCTCAAGTTCATGACCATCTAAAATCCCAAGGCCTACCTGAGAAAGCTGTGCTCCTCATTGACAATGCGCCCTCACATCCTAACGAAAGTCTCCTGAGGTCAGATGATGGAAATATTTTTGTGAAATATTTTCCTCCTGATGTTACTGCACTTATCCAACCAATGGATCAAGGAGTTATCTCAAGTATGAAGAGAGTCTACAGATCAAATTTGCTACAAAAGTACACCGATGAAGTCTTTTTCAATGTTAGATGCCATATACGAGATTTCAACAGCGTGGGATACAGTAAAGCCATCTGTATTGAAAAATTCATGGAAGAAACTGATGCATTTCATCGCTAATGAAGATGATGAAATCTATGGATTCACTGGATTCAGTGTAAATGAGATAGCCATAGAATTGACAAAATTGACTAACCAAGTTCACGGTGGTGAAGAAGTCAACGAGGAAAATATAAGAGAGTGGTTTGACTGTGACTCGTGTGAGCCGGGCTTCAAAATGTTAAGCAGTGACGAAATTGTTAGTTCAGTGGGGATGCAGCCAGAAGAGCGGGAAGAAAGTGAGAATGAGGAAGAGGTGGTCAGTGCTGCTAGTAAGAAAATATCACATGGTGCTGCTCTTAATCATTTGGACTATTTGGACTAGACTATTATTATTATTATTATTGAATGATAATTAATTATCATAATGAAAATTATTATTACTGTTATAATTATCAATTATTTGTTTGTTTACTTTTACTTTTATTAATTATTATTTCTTCCAAGTACTTACCTGTAATTTGTATTTGACTTTTAATAAGTTTGTCTATAATGTAATTCATTCATCTGCACTGTGCTGTGTCTGTAATTGGCCTTGCGGCTGTTGACTCGGAACATTAATAATAAAGAATTGAATTGAATTATTTTTGGAGGGGGTGGGCTTCCCCATGCACCATGACTAGTAGTCTATTGTACATCCCCCTTTAATTTCTACTGTCGCCATACCCTACCAGTACTGGTGCTCGCTATCAGCCCCATTCTGCCAGCGAGGCTGGCCCTCTTCTGGCACTGGTACCCAATGCTTCCCCATCTACCAGAGGCATTGGAAACTACTTGGGCGGGAAACTTTGCCTAATTTTGCTCAGAGGTCTCCTAGAGACATGAGGATCTTTTACGTGCCGTAAATCTATGACACGGGACCCACGGCTTAAAGTTCCTCCCGGAGGACTTGTTCCCTGAATTTTTCCACCCTTAAAAATTCCACGACCTCCACGGGGTTTGAACCCGCGTACCTTGAGTCATGAGGTGGGAACGTTACCCCTAGACTACGGAAGCCACTTTTACTAGACTATCTTGAGAGTGAAGAGAACAGTTTATTAAGCGACAAGCTAATATTACGTAGGCTTCATATGGATATCCGTAAATAAAAAATGCCGTGAAAAAGCAAACGACAATATTAAAATTTTTTAAGTGTTCAGTGTGAATACTCGTAAAAAGTGTTGGATGTTGTTGAACACTGTGATTGAAATAACTAATTCATACTTCAGTGTAATGTAAAAAAAGTATTAATAGCCCATGAGATGACATAAAAATGAGGTTGAATAAATTTAAATACAGGTAGTCCTATAGTATTATGAAGGTACAGTATTACAGTACTACATTTAATAAAATTTGTCTTAACCGGGTTTTCGATTAATCGTGATTTCCATCCCCACCATTATCCCGGATAATCGAGAGTTGAGTGTACTAACAAAATCTGCAACACAAATTTCAAATACTGACCCTGACAATGGAGACAACACATTCCTCTAAAATGCTGGTGCCCATCTATCAAATGCACAATGTCACATCCTTGAAGACCACAATTTTAATACTATTTGTTTTTATTGCTAGAGGGATGGGACTAAGTTCCTTGTACTGCAGCCACTTCTGGCCTATTGTACCAGCCCCAGATGATAGGTGAGGGTGATTCTGGAGCAATTGGAGGAATGAAGAATGGCAGGGGAAACCGAAGTAATCAGAGAAAACCTGCCACAGCGCCACTTTTTCCACCACAAATCCCACCTGACCACACCCAGGATCGAACCCGGGCCGCCGCGATGGGAAGCCAGCAACTAACCGCTTGAGCCATGGCACAGCCTATTTTAATATTAAGTGGAATGTGAACTTCAAACCTCAAAAGCCAAATACTGATCAAGACGTAGTTCTCAAAATAATACAGCCTATACTATGAGCTACTTTTCATAGCCAGAGGATGATAATTGAAGTGCAAAGAATGTAAATTTACATCTATGAACATAAAAAGATAATATATGATTTGTCATGTCTTAAAGTAATAAAATGCTAGAGCAAAAAAAAAAAAAATATTACATACATATTACACAAACAAAGAACGAAAACATGCAATGGTCAAAAAACATTACTGATCATGTAACAAATGAAAATGTAGCAGCAGGTTGAAATGATAGGCTGTACATGCTCAACTCTTAATAAAACAGCATGGGTCCTCAGATGTTGCTGCAAAGCATGACAGGATAAGTAGTAAATAAATAACAGGAAATGATATGGTAGAAAGTGATCATGGTTGAATTATTTGCTTTGAGGGACTGAGGAAAATCACAAAAATTCTCGGTCAGGATAGCCACTCTCTGAGCCAAGATTTTAACATTGGAACACCAAGCTAATAAGCTGGAGTGCTACATTCTTAACTGCTATATTTAGTGTAACGGCTAAATTGTTGCAAGGTCTTGAAGTTCACAGGAAGTACCATGATACAACTTTAATTACTCCTTAATGACTATCATTGTCCAATAGGTACCTTGACACTATGGCATGGTGCATCCTCAGGTTGCTGACAGTGTAAAATGAGTGGTCCTCCAACTTGTGAGGTATGCAGCAATAAAACAAGCACGTTATAGAACGACACACAAGGCCTCAGGCTTGGATGGATTCTTCACTCAAGACAGGGGCTAGTGGTGATTTCTTGTGAACATTGTAATAAACCCCTGGGTTCCATAAAAAGGGAGAGAATTTGGCTGGTGAAGCAACTATCAGACACTCAAGAACTGAGGCCCATGGAGTCAGTTTACTTTACTGTGGTATTTTGGATACCTCTGTAATAACACTCTGGCATGGATGAACAGCTCCGTTCTCCACATGAGGATTTGTATGCCTAAATACAGCTGCTAGCCTGTCCAACCACAGTGCAGGATCTGTCTTTGTTCCTCTTTCAGTCTTCACATCATTCTATGAAACAGAAGAATATATGTTACTAAAGGTGACAAAAAAATTAACTACATGCAAAGAAATTTCATGTGAAAATGAATAATGAACAATATGTAAGATTTGAGGTTTTCACGGTGGTGCCTATGAAGAAAGCAGTCTTCTGGGATTTGGCACCATGTATATGTGGTGTTAACCGACGTTTCGGAGGAACGTATCGCCTCCATCTTCAGGGTAGAAGGTACCGGTTCTCACGGTCTCTTCGCCTGCGGATTTCTTATATTTTTCCTTCTACATATACGCGGTGCCAAATACCAGAAGACTACTTTCTTCAATAATGAACACGTTGGGAGTTTTCAACCCTTATCTCAGGAAAGCTAGAGTAGAAAAAGACTGGAGAAAATTACGTAACATGGAGCTTCATAATTAGTACTCATCATCTAACACCATTAGGTTGATTACATCAAGTAGGATGAGATGAGTGAGGCATGCAACATTACCAGAGAAAATTAAAAATATATACAAAATTCTGAATGGAAAGATGAAAGAAAGATATAAACTGTGAGACCTCGAACCAGATGGAAGTGTTTTAAAAAATGGGTTTTGTAAAAATAGTGTGTGAATGTATGAAATGATCTGAACTGCCTCAAAACACGGTTTTTGTGAACATAATGATGAACATCTGGGTTCTATAGGAGCATGGCAATTTTTCAGCAACTGAATAAGAGCATTTCTAAGGAAGGTCCTGTATCAGAGAGCTAGTGAGTTGGTTAGTCAACACTATTTCAATGAACTGCATGTTACTGTTCATAATGACACTGTAATTTACAAATCATAAACCTGTAATAGATGTGAATAAATAGGTTTATACAAAATTTTCATCCTAAATACAACCATTATATGCTTATACAACATCAAAGTATGAAAAATTCTGTTTAGAAAAAATAACAACTTATCAAGAAAAGAAGGTTCTGTGTAACTTTACTGGCACACAAATAATTTACAAATACCATATAACAATTGTGTTACTTTTTTGGTGGGTACATAAACAACAGGAACAACAAAGAAATTCTTTTACAGGCTATAAAAGAAATGACAGAGCAGGGTTTAACTCACTTCTACAAGCTGGCACAAAGGGCTTATTTGAATCCAACAAATCTCTTTCATTGCACGCTGAATCTGATCTGGGGGCATTTGACCCAAGATAACAGAAACACCTGGAACAAGACATAACCATATCTCAAATTCAGCTGTATATCACATATAAACTTAGAAAAGAAGACAGATACACTAGAACTCAAAAGAAAATAAAATAAATATAATTTTAATGATATGATTAGATAATTATTATCTATTTATATTTATTTATTAATTTATTCAAAATTTGGTTGTGCCATAGCTCAAGCGATTAGTCACTGGCTTCCCACCGCAGTGGCCCGGGTTCGATCCTGGGTCTGGTCAAGTGGGATTTGTGGTGGACAAAGTGGTGCTGGGGCTGGTTTTCTCCGAGTACTTCGGTTTCCCCTGCCAATCTTCATTCCACCAAATTCTCCATCATCATAATCACCCAGGGCAGGCTATAATAGGCCAATCAGTGGTTGCCATGCCGAGTGGACAGTTGGACTACACAACCCACCAAGCGAATTCACATTTTTTTTTAATTATTCAAAATTTAGTGGAAACATTTGGATTGCACGAAGATAATGTGAGAATCAAATGCTGTATGTGTATGCACACACACAACCATCAGCACAACAAATAAGAAATCAACTCATCACCACATTTGTGTCAGTTGAGTTTATTAACTATGTTAAAATTACGTGACATATTTCAGCTCACTTGGAGCCATCATCAGGCGATACACTATTTAAAGCTATAAAATACTGAATTGTAATTATAATAGTAAAAGTAAGTAAAGTAAAGCTATCCCTGTAAGAGGCCATGAAGGCCCATAGGGTTGTGAGACGTTGAGGGTCCCACATTATCTAGACCAGTGTTCCACAACCGGTGTGCCGCGGCACACTGGTGCGCCGTCACAAGGTGAAAGGTGTGACGCGAACATTTACCTACTGTAAGAAATTAATTGTCGAATTTTATTCTTTTCGTTTTATCCCAGTTACCGTGTTTCATATGCTTGCACTTTATTCTCAGCCACTGCACTGATTAAATAAGATAATGATTGTTGCTTATTCTTATTACATGCCATGATTTTTTGTGTACAGTAATGCTGTAGTCTAAGAAATTAAATGTAAATTATTTACTCACAGTTGTTGTTATATCATAGTTTTCATTGCTGATTTATTTTTATTTTTCTCGCATCTATGCAGCTTCTTTGATATACTTGCCACATGTTCTGTGTGCGTGCTTTTCCCTAAAACTGCAGGGATTAGCAAGGGTTTCCCTTTCTTTTATTGACATTTCCAGTGAAACTGAAGCCTTTATGAAGGAGAAATTCAACAGCAGTCAGAAGTTCTCGCTTCAGATCGATGAGTCAACCGATATTAGCGGCCACGCACAACTTCTTGCTTACATTCGATACAATGATGGATATGTAATTGCAACAAATTTCTTTTTTTGCAAAGAACTTCCCGAGTGAACCACCGGTGAAGAAGTAATTCGTGTCACTAATGAATATGTGTTACATGATGGGTTAAAATGAAAGGATCGCGTTAGTGTTTGTACAGACGGAGCCGCTTCTATGACAGGCCGTGTTTAAGGATTTGTAGCTAATGTACGCAACGTAAATCCTAACATACGATGCGATCATTGTCTCATTCACTGCGAAGCCACTGTTGCTAAGTCTTTGCCATCTTCTCTGAAAGTTGTGCTGGACGAAGTAGTAAAAGTCGTGAGCCTCATCAAATCATGGCCCCTAAATTCGCTGCTTTTTTCCGTTTTGTGTCAGGCAATAGAATCAGAACACACTACACTCCTGCTACATACAGAAGTATGGTGGTTATCATGAGGAAAAGTGTTAACGCGAATATTTGAACTTAATGAGGAGGTACGTGCATTTTTTACTGTTGAGGGACATGAGTACGCGGATTTATTTACGGATGATGTATGGGCATGTAAGTTGGCATAAGGTTCCAATATTTTCGTACACTTGAATGAGCTGAACAGAAAGATGCAAGGTAGGAACGAAAATATTCTAACTTAATATTCTAATATGGCTAAGATACAAGGAATTGTAAATAAGCTCAATTTGTGGATACAGACAATTACAGATGGGTCTGTTGAGATTTTCCCGACTGTATGGCCACTTGCTGATGGCAATAAAGTGGTGATGGACACAATTAAAGAACATTTAGAAATGCTGCAGCAGAAATTCAATAAGTATTTTGGAGAGAGTGTATGAGATTTTAACTAGGTTCATGATCCATTCGTTGCGAATTCAGAACATCTTCTGATTAGTATACGTACAAGAGGAACTCGCAGATTTAAAAGCAGACAGAACATTGAAATTAAACTTCTCGAAGTGCCTTTGGATACGTTTCGGTTGACAATAAGGAATGAATACCTGGCTATCTCCGAGATGGCAGTTAATGTTATTGCCATTTTCAACTATATATTTGTGTAAACTGGGCTTCTCGAAGTTTAACTGAAATTAAGACATCAAAGAGGGAGCAGCTCAGATCCATTGATGAAGAAATGAGACTTGCGTTGTCAACGATTCCACCATGAATCAGTCACCTGTACACAGCTACGCAAGCGTAAGTATCACATTGAAGGCATGAGTAGAATTACTGTATTTACTTTAATAGTAATAGAGGCGTATTTTCTACAATCTACAGCGAATTAAAGTTCATTAATTGTTAATAAATGCATGAGTCGATTTCTGTTTAATGATAAGAAAATAACAATATAATACTATTATAGAAATAAGTTTATCACTTTACGTATTTATATTAATTGTCTGATATCATGTGTTTTTGAGGGGAATAACATTTTGGTGTGCCGTGTTGAGCCATGGATACTTCATTGTGTGCCGCGAGTAGAAAAAGGTTGCGGAACACTGATCTAGACAATCTGCTCAAAGATGTCAGTAAGGTTGTCAGCCTTACGTGCTGCCCTCGCTTTACTCCCCAGGAAAATTATTTAATTAATTCCTGGTACTCATTTCTGAGTGAACCCCAAGACCTTAGCAAGACCAATGACTGCAACAGGACTTGAACCCATGACCTTCCAGCTTGTAGCATAGCCCCTCAACCAACTACGCTACCGTGTTCCCCCAATTATAATTAGTATAGATCCATATTACAAATTATGTTATAACATTATTCATAAAATAATTAAATTTAATTTATATCGTTATTTGCACAGGTCAATATTTTATAGCTTTAAATAGTGTATCACCTGATGACAGCTCCAAGTGAGCCCAAACATGTTGTGTAATTTTAACATTGTTAATAAACTCAATTGACACAAATGTGGTGATGAGTTGATTACTTATTTGTTGTGTTGACAGTTTTATATATATTTATATATACACACACACACACACACACACAAAATAGGATGAATTCCTTGAAGAGATGCTGTACTGTTTTGTTTCATATGGGTAGTACAGAGGTTCCAAACGTTATGACAATGGCATACAACACTCACGATTACTGGGTTTCTGGACTTTGTCCATCATCCAGGATTCTGAAGAACATGTTTTGGAAGCTGGATCTGTCTCCACCCTGAAGTGAGGGGGTGGGAAACACCTACTCTCTTGGGTCCATTAGAAAAAGCTAACCTCAATCACTCAACAATCTATGTCAAAACAACTACAGCTATATAAACTATCTGATCTCAGGTGATTATATAGTTGTAGTGAAAAAACTTTGTTTCAGCAGCCAATCACTGATAAATACATCAAAGTTTTCAAAACTTCCACCTCAAAATTTAGCACTCTGGGAATTTTTGGTTTTTTTATCATCACAGTTTTTATTCAGACTACGGATCCAAACACAGATCAGCACTTTACTGTCTCAGATCTATGTAGTGAGGATATCCTTGGAGGACAANAACTGGGTAAGGGAACTGGGTTCCCGACCCGCATGGTCAAGGGACATACGGCTCAAAACGCCATGAAGTTTATATCAAATTGTGCAGAGCAGAATCACCAGTTAACAACTCTGTGTTCTAGTGGTCTGAGTTCTGGGTTTGATTCCTGGAGCTACCAGATTTTCTAAGTAGTGGGTCTGGAACAGGGTCCACTCAGCCTCATGGGGATAACTGAGGAGCTATTTCAAGGAAATAGCGGCTTCAGTCTAGAAAATCGAGATTAACAGCTGTGTGGATTCCTTCCGCTGATCAGATGATACCCTCTATCTGCTAAAGTTGGCACTAACTTTGCCGATAAGCGGCGGTCACTCTGTCAGTATAGTTCGCTTGCGGACTAAAACCACAGAGTTTTATCACAGCTAAGACTAACATGCTTCAGCTCTAATACAAGTAACTATACTCCATGAGGAATTAAGACAGTTGTCACCATACCCACAGAAAAGATATAAATATTGCAATTCTTACCTTTTAAAAGGCCTATTGCTGCTTCATTGGAGATACTGAATGTATCCAAAGACTGGATTATCTGCACAAGACCAGTGAAGTGAATCCCCATATGATCCCTACAGGCACTGCAGATGCTCTGTAGAGAACCTGCAGCTGCAGATGCTTGGTGGGGCTGTTGTAAGCAGTACAGCAAGAAATTTAAAACAGGTTCTGAAAATAAACCACAAACTTTCAGTTAGACAATACAGTTTATATCTAGTGCTTCATATCGGCTTATGTGGAAGCTGAAATGATAGGTAAAAGTTATTGATGGCCTTAAGAAACATGACATAATGGCAGTTTCTTTTTAATCACCGGGCTGTGTCCCGGTACTGGGCCTTGACATCAATCATTCCAGGCCCTGGTCTCATAGAGAAAAAAGAATTTATCGGGATGCGGTCTGACATAGGTTGAGAACCACTACTTTAAGGGACATGATGGTGAAGCTTCCCATATTCTCAATGTTATTTCAACTCAGTAGTTTGCATGATCATGTCTATGGATATGTTCATGGAACAGTAGTCAAAAATATGAAAATGGGTTGGCAACAAATGCCATGAAATTTTTCATAAACTGATTCCATGATAAGAGCTTTTCTTACATAGATGATAGTTAATTCAGGTATCTCTTGGCATCCCTGCTTCTGTTCCTCAGAGTTGAGATAACTCTCGCATCTTACACTGTCGAATCACCCCCCAGTCACTTGGCTCCACATCCACTGTAATCAGCCCACCTACTTTGATCTACTTTAGAGCACCCTTCATCATCAATATTCACATACTGGTTCAAAACTGAGTAGTGGAGTACATACATACCAAACATGATAAGCCTCACTTTCATGTTCACATATTCTAATATAAATAGGTTCTGACAGTGGCTTTTGTAAACATGATAAGGAAACTTCAGGTTTCCATAAAAGAGAATTTTCTGGCCAGCAGAGTAACTATCAGATTATCAAGAAGGATTCTGCTTCATGGAGTTAGTTATGTTCTTATGTCGCCCATTTTTGTATGATGAACCATTTTTCAGAAATCCAAAATATACAGACATCATCTATAAGTAAAACATGAATTACAGTTTATGAACATGAAGAGACAAAACACGAATATGAAGAATCATGATATGAACACATCTGCATCATCTCGCAGTCTCACAGAAAGAATGAAAATTAAACAAGTACAGCATAAAAATAACTGTCAAAACACAGATTGGATTTAAAGAGATTACCAAAAGGAATTTTACAACATAAACCTCTTACTAGAAATAATACATATTACATAAGAAACTGTGATCTGATCAATTATAGAGGCAGATCAATAGCCTGGTATACAGCATCCAGAAGATCGCTTAAAAAAGGGCAAATTTAGTATAACCTAATAATAATAAAATATCAAGAAACCTTGACAATACACACTTCATGTACTTATGGTGCAAAATATAAGACAGAAATTCATACTACACAAGCAAACTACACTACTACTGAATATGATACATTTTCAGTTTTCTTTTCTGTCTTTTTTTTCTTTTCCTTTCTTCCTGCTTTTTACAGCACTCTATAAATGCACTCAGCACATTTTTTTGTCCAGTACTGAGTTCAACCACTTTTCCATTTACTACAGCAATATACCTTCTCAGATAAATTATATTGACAGGAACCAGGATGTATTCAAGCATACTGAACTGTTAAATTCTTGATTTTCACCTCTATTTTTAAATTAAACAGTTTCCATTTATTAAGGATACTTCATATTGGACTTGTTATTTGGAACTAAGAGAATTCTGTGACGAAGAACAGTCTTCGTTTAATACAAATTCCATTTTAAACAGCTTCTACTGCATCTAAATTGCATTATCAGTTATGTAACATTAATTTACCAAGTGACTGTGGATGTCGTTCTATCCACTCACACAGCTCCCCTAGCAGAAGCACTGATGTATGCCTCACAGCCACATGAGTATTTTCAGGCAAGTTGAGAATGGCTTCCACAACCTTTGGCACAACATCATTCTCTTCACTGAAAAAGGGAGAGAAAAAAAAGAAAGAAAGAAAGAAACATAGTACAGATTATTTCAGCATTCACCTTTTCACTGAATATCAGTGAATTAATGGTCACTTAGCAGATTGACTATAACAACTTAACAAAGCGAAAACAAAGATGAGTCTTATTTTACATACAGAATAATAATGTCAATGAACACTGTGACCACAAAATTTTTAACTGTAGTTTGATACACTAGCAGTACTAAACCTTGTTATGAGACATTAAATCTAAAATTACATAAAACTAAACTTACGGCAGAATGTTTTTGGCTACAGCTTGCATGATGAACAAGGCTGCTTCACTTGAATCCCAAGTAACTCCAGTGCCTTGCAAGCTTATAAACATCTGTCTGAAGCAATTGGATGACCCAACAATGAACACTACATCCTTGATAAGCTCCGAAACTTTCATGCGGAAGTCAGCAAAATCATCACCATCTTCTAGCAAGCCTTCCTGTTACAACCATATAACCATCAAGTTACACAGTATTCTTAGTCATGACATTCACAGTAAGTTTACAGTCAGCTTCCTCCACTTTAGAAATCATGCTATAGCATCAAAGTTTTCCACACTCCTACAATTTCCTACTGGCTCCTAATGCTTCCCATGTTGCACAGCTTTACCAGAATTCCTATGCTCTATTCATTCCTTTCAGCCCAAATTTTGGATTTTCTTTTTTATTTCTTTATTTTTTCACTTATATCAGTCAAGCACGGTAAAAGGTTATTCCTACCAACCAGGATTACTGACATGAACTAAAACAGGAGCAAGTGAAATGAATGATTGTAAAATATATCATAACACAGAGAGGTGTGCAGGTACATTGGTCATAGAACCTCAAGTCCATAATATTGTATATAACTCAGAAAGAGTTAAGTCTGGCAAACACAGTGTTTGCCTGGAGTATATAACATAAGCATTTTGCAAAGATCAATTTTATCAATATTAGAGTCAATTTTACCGACCACACAACATATTTTTATTATTATTACACTACATGTTTCGACCTCAAGAGGTCATCCTCAGGTGTACAAACACAGCCATATAATTATACGCAATCACATTCATCTTCTCACTTATTCGATCCTGTATCTTATTCAGGCTCACACTCAATAATACATCAAGCTCCTCTCACAAAACACAAGTTAAAATATTATTCTAAATGTCAAAAGTTAAAATTTAAAATTTGTGAATTGAATTTCAATTCAGGTCACTTGTTATGCTTTCACTTTCACTTGTTATTCAGTCACTTCCTACTTACGCTCATCACTGCGTCAAGTTCATTTTAACTAGTTTAATTATATTATTGGTTAAAAGTGCATGAATTAAAGTTCAATTTTATTATATTGATTGCACTTTTCACTTTTTGGAAGTCTCACTGTACTTCCGAGTCCTCTGATGTGCTGGATTTGTTACGATGCACACGTGTGCATACATCCATTTCTATTTCACAGTATTTTCTCCTTATATAAATTATATATTTGAAGAGTATGGATACTGCATTTGACGATGCTTTAAGCATATTTTAATTTTTTTAAGTTGGTTATTTAACAATGTTTTCAATACTGAGACTATAGCATCACTTGGGTTACTTTAGGTGTCCTTTTCAGTGGTGCACATCCATGAAGTGTTATATTAAAGATCATTTATAATTAAACCTTCTAAATATCTTGCCAAAGTAAATAAAGGACAAAATTCATCTTATAAACTCATGAATATATCAACCAGCCACGTTAGTTTTACATATGGACAGGACAAGACAAATACATGACATGATATTATAAAACACAAAGATATTCTAAAACATGTGTATTAGTCAGTCAGTTGATGTCAAGTGTCTGAGAACTAAGACAATACTAATATAAATATATTTCTGATCTGGAATTGATTTTTATGGGAAATGGATATGAAGAGGGACAGAAAGCTCCTGATGGGAGTTTACAAAACCATGTTATCTACCTATACAATTTAAATCAATTCCTCTGACAACAATGCATCACAGCAGCTACTGACATTTGTCTAATACACCGTACTAATAAACACCTGCTATTCACAAAGCATGTGTGACAAGAGGTGGCCTTCACACTGAACTTCCTAAAACTTTGCCAATTTGTTAAAAAAACTGTTAATAAGACAAGACAGAATAGGAACTCAGATACATGGAAATGGAAATGCTTTAAACTCAATAAATTCTGTCTTCTAGGATATAAGGCCATGCAGTCTGTTGAAGTCACAGACATTTTGGAGGAAGGTGGAAGCAACATGTTCCTCGAAACATTGGATGACTTTCAGTAGACTACATAAGATAGAACTCTTCATAACCACTGCCATGAGAACCTAAAATTCTACATATTTTATGCTTCCTTTTATTATAAAACATTAAATTTATACAAAGTTATTTAGCATTTTGTTCATAAATATAACAACTGGAAATAAAGCTAATCATCTTGCCCAAAATTAACTTACATGATCTGGTTCCATTTGACAATGCCGACAAAGTGCTTCTATTAGCCTCTCCACATATGGTTTAAATAATGCTGTGAGCACATCACTGTTCTTCTGATAGACTTCTTCTGAGAGACGATACCATAGATTAAATGTGATTTCAGCAACCTGACAATTACATAGCATTTTAATATCATATAATCAATTTACAACAAACAAAAATCCTCATAATAAATATCATTAAAACATAAATACATTAGAACATCTCCATAGTGAATACCCAAACAGAAATACTCACAACTCTTCATAATAAATTGCCCAAAAAAAACATTCGTCAGTCCTTGGAAGATATAATAAATGTCACACACTTATGCAGGGCTGAGAGGCCTCCATAGTCTAGGGGTAACGTTCCCACCTCATGACTCAAGGTACGCGAGTTCAAACCCGGCAGAGGTCGTGGAATTTTTAAGGGTGGAAAAATTCAGGGAGGGACTTTAAGCTGACCATCTGGCAATAATGCAGTTTCATACTCCAACAGTGAGGTAACCCCTGCAGCTACACCAATGGATCTACTCTTACACATACTAAACCCATGTTACAAAAACATTTTTTTTCTGCCAGTTATATACAAGGTCTTCATGGCCTTCCTTCCATTTTGCCTTACATAGTGTTCACATGTGGCACAAGTGATCATTTGAACCGAGGCACACCAATTATTAATCATGTATGATATATTGCTTACACTGCATGACTGGAATTGTATGACAAGTCACAATATATGAGCAGCAGAATTATTAATGAATACTGAAATTTCTTTGCAATTTGAAGTTCTGATTAGATCCGCACAAAATGATGGTATTTGAACAAAGTTCATGTAACCTGTGGCACAACCAACTTGGTAAGTGTTTAAAATGTGGGTTCAACTACTGACTGCAATCCCTTTCAAGCTCTAAGTGTCTGTGAAACATAACAGTGTCTCCAGGGTCCTACTTTATCATTTGATATAATATTTACTTCAAAACACAGCGTTAAAACTGCCACTGCCATGTGGGATTAAAAAGTTATATGCTAAAGATTAAGTTCAATTCATGCTTACCTCATAATCATGATGTCCTACACATGTTAGCACCAAATCTAATATTTTGACTGCAAAATGAGGTTTATTACTGCTATCTTCACTTACAATCTTCTCTAAAAATGTTTCTGCCAGCTCTGTGAAGATACGACAATAATTCATGGATCTATAACAAAGAAAAATACAAAACTATAATTTTACTTTTTGTTTTGTATGGCTGCAGAACTTCATCTCTCATATATGGGTAAGAACAGACTGAGAATGTCCGAGAACAGGATGCTGAGAGAATATCAGGAGGTATCGTTAAGATTTTCAAATAAAGGAGAATAACATGGGCAAGACATGTAGACCACACTGGGAAATAAGAGATGTTTACAAAATTTTTGTGAGAAAACCTGAAGAGATGAGAGCAAAGTGTGGATGGAAAGAGAATATAAAAAATGGAATTAAAAAAAAATGTGATTGCAGAGTGGATTAGCCTTTGAGTTCCTTAAAAGACAAGGAATGTCTTGACTATTAAGTTCTCAAGATGGACTGGTAAACATGCTCTGTGGCTTTGTGAGGATTTTGCACCCCCTTTCCTATTAGTGCCTGGGCATTTATGATTTTACATGCTGTCTGTACGGAGCTTAGATAATAAACTGATCTGACCACCAGCAAATCGCTCTAAAGCAGGAAGAATTCAAATGTTATAATATCAAATATCAAGTCCAATATCAATTCTAATTAAAGCTTAAATTTTAATTTTAAATCAGTATTTCTATGTATCAACAAAGGAATTTATAATGTAAAAGACAGTGAACAAACTTGTATAATTTAACATACAACATAAGTAATACCTGCTTGAAACGACAAAGCTATTTGGTAGAAAACACTTTTTTTTATTGCTAGTGGGGTGGGACTAAGTCCCTTGTACTGTGGCCACTTCTGGCCTATTGTTCCAGCCCCAGATGATAGGTGAGGGTGATTGTGGAGCAGTTGGTGGAATGAAGATTGGCAGGGGAAACTGTAGTACTCAGAGGAAACCTGCCCCAGTGCCACTTTGTTCACCACAAATCCCACTTGATCAGACCCCGGGATCGAACCTGGGCCACCGCGGTGGGAAGCCAGAGACTAACTGCTTTAGCTATGGCGCAGCCTAGAAAACATACACACAGAAAACAACTTAATATAAAATCTATTTTTTGATACAGGAGAATGGTTTTTCTGTATCTTACAGACAAGCTGAAAGACACACTGTCAAAAAAAAATCGTCTTTGATCAGGAAAGTATGTTAAGGTCTTTCAAAACTTCAAATTTCTGCAGTGCTTCTTTTTCTTTTCAAAATTTAATGTCATAAATATAATACAGAAATGCTTACATTCGCCATTTTTAGTTGAAATATGTTATCTGATGAACACAAAATATTTTCAGTTTTTAAACATAAAACAACTTTTCCTGTGTTCTTCCACATCTCAACCAGACTTCTGTCAACTGACATTTATTCACAATGGGTGTGTTAGCGATGAAACATCCTGTTTGCATGATCAAAAACTGACTGAAATTTGCATAATGAACACAGTTCTCCTGACAGCGAGAGGTTAGAATACCATTACTGACAAGCAAAAAAAATTAGCAGCAGCTGAAACCGTTTCTTGGAAAACATCTGCCAAACCAAGCCTATATATAAATTTTAACCTAATATCAGCATTCTTCGCCTTTTGTAAGAAATTTGTGATGCAGATATTTTAAGACACATGCACGCACACAAATAAAAAAACTCTAGTGTCCACAGTCATGCCTTCATGCTTTTGCTTCTCCGCGGCTTCCCACAGTGAAGGTGTTCCTCCTTCTGGGTTCCTGAACTGTTCCTGGCCTCAGCTACCAGCTTTTAGCAGCAAAAGCTCACCAGAACTGAACCCCATCAGTTCTCGAACTAACTGTAACTGCTAACTGGTCCTGCTTATGACATCTTGGCATGGACCACGTAGAAAACATCAATTCCATTACTGCTGTATTCTCTTGTTGCCATGGAAACATGCTGGTTTGTGGAGCCATTATTTAGCAACGGCTGTTGCATACTTGCTTGTTCTGCAGCTGTTGCCTAGCAACGGGTCTACATACCACAGGGGGTGTACCCCCTGAAGATGGTCTTGTATGACCGAAATATGTCAAGAGTTTTAACAACATGTAATCAGCACAAGGAAATAAAACAGATATACTTAGATGCTGATTTGGAGCTTGTTCTAATATAAACAGTATATCAGGAAAATAAACCCAATTAACAAATGGATGTAAGATACTTGCACTTACAAATATTCTTCTAACTTTCCCTTGACCCGTATGACAATGGTTTGTTTTCGAACATCTGTAGTGTGCTGTTATATCTGATATCCAATGACATTAATTTCATATTACTAACTCTTTCAGTTTTCCAGTTTGTAAGTAAACAAAATCTGATATCTCTGTTAGTTTAACTGCTACAGCCATGGCAGAATAAAAGAAATGGTAAGAACTTATTACTCATGTCAAATTCCATGATCTAAATGATGCATTGTGAAATTAATTTATATTTATTAGAACTTGAGGCTTTCATGAGGGTGAGAACTGACACTGTAGTCTTTTTGGTGATGACACCATGCTGCAGTTGCATATGTGGACATCAACATTTTGGAGGAATAAAATGCCTCCATCTTCAGGGTAGAGTCTGAAGCTAGAGACAGATATTCCTCTGAAACACTGGTAGCAACCACCTAACAGTCTACAACACTGTGCCATTACCTAGAAGACTACAATGTGATTCTATATTTGTTCAGATGGTAAAAATGTGATGAAAAATTTCTCTGGGTTGACAAATGAGAGGAAACCTCACTCATCAAATAGCTAATAATATATAATACAATAATTCAACTCACTTCTCTTGGTCTTCATGAGCAACAGAGAGATGGAACCCTTCTTCCAAAGATACAACTCCAGAGAACAGCTGCAACTCAAGAGCATGTTGGTTATTGTTGTCTTCTAAACACTGCAGCAGAGCACACACGCAGTCTGTCGCAGCTTCATGAACACCAGGTACTGCCTGCACACAACATATACTGAAGCTGTGAAACTACTCAATGATTGTGTGTTCTACCAGGAGTCAGGATAACTCAGTGGGAATAGAAACAGGCTATAGGCTGGATGGCCGAGGTTGAATTCCTATCAAGAGCAAAATTTTTCTCTTCTCTGAAGCATCCAAACCAGCTCTAGGGCCCATTCAGCCTCCCATCCAAAGCATATGGGGCGTTCTTTTCCAAGGGGATAAAACAGTTGAGATGTGAAGCTGACTACGCACCTCCATCTAGTGCCAAGGTCAAGAATGGTGCAGCTATACCTCCACTCCCCCATATATCTTCATGGCATAATGCTTCATTTATTAGGCATTGGGACAACTTTACTTCTTTTTAATCATCTTTCAGAACTACACCAGACTGTTCATCTAGAAGTCAGTACAGTGACTAGCTGACTCACCAGGATTCAATTCCTGGAAAGGGTGGACATTTTCTCCTTCACTACCACATCCAGACTGACTCTAGGGCCAACCCAGCCTCCTATCCAACAAGTCACAAGGGCTTTCTTCCTTGGAGTTAAGCAGTTAAAGAATGAAGAAGACCACCCATGCCATAGTTAGGAATATGCGAAGCTTTCCCATCACACCCGCACACACCATTACACCAATACTCACTCTGGTTACTTATAATCAGACATTCATAAAAACTATCTTGCTAAACTCCTGACATTCATGATTTGCTGATGTGCTACATGGCTGCTAACAACACTGAGATATCTCACTTCACAACACACATCACTAAACCTTTAACATCTTCCATAATGCAGGGTATAATCAGGACTTTGTGGAACTTAGGAATTACAGCAATTTGTGTTTAATGTGCACAATGAATTAGTATTTCAGCTGTGATATTATTAAAAAATAAAGTACTTGATTCTGGCGCACATAAACAGGATTCATTTTGTATGTGAAGTGCTATGTTATTTGTTAGACCTATGGCTGCGAATTGTTATGACAAAACTGGCACTACGGACCTTACGGACTAGGATTCAAGGCACTGTGCCATGGAAAAACATGCATGATACTGGTGCACATGAGATTGTAAAGTTGATTTCTGCTACTTATCCTGAAGAACAGCTTCAGATGATTCCGACATTGAATCTACAGACGAGGAGTATAATCTTCTGAGTTGTAATGTCATATTTGGAGAAAGTCCACGTGTTGGACAAACATATTGCCTCCACGATTAGGATCACTGAGTAAGCCCACAGCGGCGGCCCGAGTTTGGTCAAGTGGGATTTGTGGTGGACAAAGTGGCACTGGGCGAGCTTTCTCCGAGTACTTCCGCTTCCCTTGCCAATCTTCATTCCACAAAATTCTCCATCATCATAATCACACAGGGCAGGCTACAATAGGCCAATCAGTGGCCACCTTGCTGAGTGGACCCAGTTGGAGTCCACCACCCACTAAGAGAATTAAAAAAAGAAGCCAAGAAAGAGACCAGAAAAAGCAGGCAGCAATCTTAGCTTGGCTTACTCCTCGACCCTGAAATTGGAAGCACCGCATGCTCCTCCACAATGTCAAGCTCTCTCCAAACTACAGAGAAGACTGTACTGTTCATAGTCCCTGCCATAACCTCATGTCCAAGGAATCTCTAAGCGCTCTTAGAGAAGACAGCTATAAAAGTGTTCCCACAAATCAACTGTGGCATGACAGTTGAAGCAAAGACAGTGCTGCAGTGCATCAGTTCACCTTATTCAGTACGGCCTGAAACAGTGTTGCACCTCAAACCAATGCAGATTCAAAATCATGTCAGAAATAAGAAGTGCATCAATTTACAGTCCACATCAAAACCAAATGCCAATGAAGAGATAAGTCAAGAGATATACAGTGGCAATGCACCAAAAATATATACATATTTCATGCTACTAAATGTAAAAAACACACTGCCACTGTAACAATATTGATGAATATCTCCTCCACGTGCTCATACTTTACATGAATCACCAGTGCACGACACGGAAAAACTTTTCACATATTTTAACATTTTAAGTCACAACAACAATACTTCAGCATTTAACAAAATGCAACACTACCAGCAGTGTCAACATAATCAATACTGTCACATGTTAGTGACTAGACAAGGGATCTGGATTGGAAATTGTATTTACTGAACACTTACAACTTGTAACCACAAACGATTATAAAAGTCTCACTAATTCACACACACTATATGAGACACAGTAAGTCTTCTCAGCTATAGGTCCCAACAATGTTGATTCCTCAGCTTCCATACTCATGCTCTTAGCAGCTGACAACTGTGTCACAACTAACTTGCCCAAGGCCGCGCCATAGCTCAAGTGGTTAGTCGCTGGCTTCGCACCGCGGCGGCCGGGGTCAAGTGCGATTTGTGGTGGACAAAGTGCCACTGGGGCAGGTTTTCTCCAAGTACTTCAGTTTCCCCTGCCAATCTTCATTCTACTGATTGCTCCACAATCACCCTCACCTATCATCTGGGGCTGGTACAGTAGGCCAGAAGTGGCCGCACTACAAGGGACTTGGTCCCACCCCACTAGGAATAAAAAAAAACTAACTTGCCCCGTTGACCCTTGTTATATAGTCTCAGCATGGACTGCATTGAAAACATCGTTTCCAACAACTATTCCATTGTTGTGTGTGTAACCCTTGCTGCAGGAGCATGTTTACTGAATCACTGCCTAGCAATGGCCATCTCTTCTTGTTCCACTATTTTGGCTTTCAGCCCTCATGTCACAATATGACCCACCTAAAAACTACTCCACATTTATGAATTCAAAGACTGTAAACACTGGCCAATACAGCAGTTCAGCAATAATTTATGTATATTACCATGATGATGGCCAAAAAGGCTGAGAAATGTTGTATGACAAAGTTGTATACATTATTGCAACTGTACAGATGTTGTGTCTGATGTTACCTTTCATAAATCAATAAAAAAAAACAACCTGATGCTCCAACACAGTGTTCCATTTGAATTCTTCTGACTAATGCTTAGAGATGCACTATAAACATTATTTTACCAAATACTGCAGTCATGTGATTGGCATTCCTGCTTCTTATTTGGAAAGCTCCACATTCAAAAACTTGGCCAAGAGACTGGATATCCTGACTGGGAATTTCAGTCATTCTGTCCAAATGCTGGAACAGTACTTTAAAATAGGTCAGGACCACTTCCTTCCATATACCATTCATAAGTCATCCTGTTACCAATGTTTCCTAACCAGCTGAACAACCTATCAATATTATTTCAGCAGTGTCAAACCACAAAGAGCAAAACTAATGATGAACTATATCATTTCATATACCTCACAATTTTAATGGATCACAACAATCAGGTAAACATAAAGGTTTACTAGTAAAGGAGTCTCTTTGTTTATTCTTGGCACTTTCAGTTACACAAATTATACAGCATTGAATAATAGGATAATTATTGAATAATGAATTGGAAAGAATGTGGATTGGAAAAACAAAAAGAGTGGCCTACTGCAAATTATTTGTCTATAGGGACTCAGGAACCATCAAAACCTTTATCAACAGCCAACCTTTGAGCCTATATTTGAATCCAGAAGCTCGTAAATATGAAGCAAAAGTGTTAAGTATTTGACCATAACATTCAGTCAACTTCTTGTCAACTAGCAAGCTGCATTATCCACCCAAAAGCTGTAAAAGTGGCCAGTTTCTGTAGAGACAGAGATTCTTTCATTTAAAAAATACTGTAAAGTCCATGAGGCAAAACAAGGCCAGATTATGAAGCTCAGATGAGGTGCTGAATACTTCAATATACCTTTTCCATATTCTGTCATCTCACAGAAAATTCAGTTGTGGATGATATTGTCATGCATATATGGCTGCATGACTAATAATAACAGGTTTTGGATTAAATGACTGGATTTAATAACACCTTCTTTGCATTCTTTCTTAATCACAATCAATTACAATAATTCACAATACACCTTCGGCTCAATTCTGATCTGAACCACAACTGACTTGAACGATGACTGTCTTCTCCTGTCATCTCCTGGCTTCTGTCTTCTAATGTGACTGACTTGGTTCAGAATGACTTCTGATTTATGACTGACTCACTTCTGAATTACAAATGAATTATGAATGCCTCTGTCCTTATCTGACTTGCCTCTTATACAGAGTGTTTCACGACTTTAGGGCATAACTGCAGGAGGTGACTTCCTAGGTCTTTGTGATCAAAAAAGTTCATATAAACATGTGTCCGATTTTGGACGGTTATGGAGTTATGACCGTTTTTTCATTCCCGTACACGCCCTTGTGTGAACCGCGTCTGTCAGCTGGCGGGTCACTATTTTTAGCCAGCTACAGACAGAGCATTCTCGTTATCTCAACACTTGAGAGCTACCTAAGGCGTGGTGGGTTGGTATGTCAGGTGCAGTTCACAACCAAGTGACGGCCTGTGTTGCAGCCAGTGGTGGCATTTTCGAAAATCAGCTTTAAGCACCAATAAATTCAAATTAAAGGTAATTTCACGAAGTTAACTTTACATTCATACTTTAAATGTATCATGTATTATGCTGGTTTATTATTTTGTTCCGTTTATTGTCAGTAACTGTTACCTTCCATTCTGAGTTTAAAACAGTCATAACTCCATAACCATCCAAAATTGGACACATGTTTATATGAACTTTTTTGATCACAAAGACCTAAGAAATCACCTCCTGCAGTTATGCCCTAAAGCCGTGAAACACCCTGTATAGCCATCATCCTAGGAAGAATTTGTTGCTTGCTTGTATCCATGGATATGCCACAGCAACAAGCTGGTTTCTATGAGTCTATAAATTTCATTCTCATATCCATGGACATGTTTAACACCCAGCGATGGTTTGTCCAAGAATTGTATCTCTGCAGAAATGTGTTTGCCAATTCATTTCCTAGAAACGGGCTTACATGTCAATATTACTGAGAAATACAAGAGAGAGAGAGAGGATTTCTTTAGTACTTTCAAAAAAAAAAAAAGAATGCTCAAAAAATTATACAAGCTTTACCAAAACAGATGACATATGACACAACTTTTACCTAGGTGAACATCTTGCTAATGCCCATGATCAAGCTTACCTGATTTCACCAAAGTCGTATGCCATTCCTGCAGTTCAGTAGACTTAATTTAATGTCAGTAGTCTTACTATGTGGATTACATTTGCTGTGTACTTTTCTAAACCGATCTATACACTTTGCACATCCTTTGGCAATTCCATGAACTGTATCAGCTCATGTTTGGCCAAAGCATATAACAGACACATGCATTTGTATCTGCCATCAGTTGTTACAAATCTGCTTCTTGCATCATGCATCCACAGAACACATGTGATCTTGTCTACATGTAGATCTTCAGCCCCTTCTGAGGTATCATATTTAGATGTCAGCTCTTGAGGCAATATTGATGAATTAAAATGTGAACTTGTGACTCCTTATTCAGTGAATATGAAATAACCATTGAAAATTTGAAAGTAATTCAGCACTGGGGAACTATAAGACCACTTACCAGTACTAATGCAGCAGTGAGAAGGTTAATATGTTTTACAGTCACAATACAAAATTAAAGAAAGTTGTATTATGGAGTTCAACAAGATCACCATGGAACAAAAAANGCGGCGCGCACTTGATTGTACGCACTGTAATATGAATGACTGTTCTAAAGTGCTTCTATGGTCATGCATAAAAGAAGATGTGTGATTTGTAAGCATATGAAAAAAAAAAAACTTTTTCACAGTGAGAAGATAATTTGGAAAAAATTCCAGAAGTGAAACAAGAATGAGAATTTACTCTACTAGACCAATTTTTCCCACAATAATCACAATTTATAACAGTTATCACGTTTCACAGTGCATTAAATTTCCTGCCTAATCTCTTTGATATAAGATCCTTTTTCAATGAAAATCTGTCATAAATCATACTTTTATAAATTCAATTCTAGGTCTATGTCCTTTTTCGAAGTGGGTAGAAAGAGGGACAGAAAGACAGATTTTGTTCACACGTTGATTTGTGACAGTGCTATCAGCACTGACGGATGCACACTATTGCACAAAGCAAAAGCAGTCACCTGAAAACTCTGAATGTCTGGGACTGAAAACCTGATGCTCAAATAACAATTTGTTTCTTCACTCGCTTTTGAAAATTTGAGACTAACGTGTGCCTAGTGATATGCTTCCTTTCCTTTTACTTATTTTCTTTTATTCTTCCCCTCCCCCAGCCTCCTTAAAAATAGTTTTATTTTCCATGTTATTCATGCAAGTAAATTCATAGCTTGCAGTTCCAATTCCCTCATGCAGATTACAGCTTCAGCCGATAGGAAAACTGGAAGCCTTCAGATGAAAGAGTATGACTGACCAAAAAAGCAATGATCTGAAATCAATCACAACCAGGCTCCCTATATGATGGATTATTGTAAATATAATGCTTCGAACACAGGCTGAATAATGCTTTGTAGACGTGCCTGATCCTCTGTCAAGATGTCAAAGTCTAATGAATTTTATCACCTACGTGATGAACAGTTCTTAGCCTACATAGGTAACTATTAAAACACATCTCTTACCATACTGTGAAATTTCTGTGATAACAATGTGTTTGAAATACTGTTTAAAAATAATAAATTTTCAATCTCTGTTTCAATATCAATCCTGGCACCTAACTCTTGGAGGTTGCCTATAGGGTTGTGAGATGTTGAGTTTCCCACATTTTCTAGACAATAGGCTCACAGATGACAGCAAGGTTGTCAGCCCTACGCACCGGCCGCCCTTTACCCAAAGAATATTCCAAGAATATCCCTGGTACTCATTTCTGTTAAAGGCTGAGTCGACCCCAGGGCCATAGTGCGGCTAGAAGGATTAGGCCAATTGAAAAAAATCCAATGACCTCATCTGGACTTGAACCCAGGACCTTCCAGCTTGTAGCATAGCGCCTCAACCAACAACGCTACCACATGCCCCGATATGTTATTAGCAAGTCTATTATAACATATGTAATACCACACACTTTGTTGGAAGTATAAACAAGAGTACACATATTTAGGAGGAAAGAAACATAAAAATATTTTCATAAAGAGATAGTCAAGGAAGCACCTTACTCGAACAAACTGGGGTACTGTGTGATGGACTCTGTAGTACCTGTTGGTTGGACAGAATATGAAAGGCGTGTGCAACAACTATATTGTCAGCTACATCTGGTAATGTGATGGCTTGGATGGAGACCCAAGATGTGAAGCATCGTAATATCCGGATGTGGATGTGAGGATTTTCACCACCATTTGACAGGCACAGTTTCTAAAAAAAACATATAATAAAAAAGACACAATATCATAATAGCATTATGTGTAAATTCTTATTATACAGCAGCAATACCTTCCACCTCAAAATAAGATATTTCAAAGAACAGCTACACAGTTTATATAGACAAGATTGGCTGGACTAAAGTCAATGTGATCCAGTGCCTAAGTAAGGTAAGTGGCATTGGGATTCAGCTGAATGTGTATAAACATGGTAAAATGTGGATAATGGTATTGACACATACTTGTATAAGAAGACTATTAGATATCTATGTGAATAAATATCTTTAAGCCCTGAAGCTTATGTAAATAAACACATTTAAGACCTGAAGCTTACATGGCAACTACAAGTGATAAAATCTTCTGGGTTGACCAGTTGCATCAATTTCTAAGAGAAATTCAACATGCCAGACACAGAGCTTCTCTGTCTCCATCACAGGATATGATGTACTAGATAAAAACTTCCAATCGCACACACAGACACACCTCAAGTGGTGGTAGTGAAGTTGCTTGAGGCACTATGATACAAGCCAGCAGGTCGCAGGTTCAAGTCCCAATGAGGTCATTTGATTTTTTTCAATTGACCTAATCCTTCCAGCCACACTATGGCTCTGGGGTCAACTCTAACAGAAATGAGTGCCAGGAATATTCCTGGAATGTTCCTGGGGCTAAAGGGCGGCCAGCATGTAAGGCTGACAACGTTAACATCATCTATGAGATGACTACCTAGAAAATGTGGGAACCTCAACATGTAACAACCCTATGGGCCTCCATGGCCTGTTACAGGGATACCTTTACTTTTTTTTTACTTTTTTGTCAGCAGTGGGTAGCAGTTATCAGCTGCTTTAGGTGTTTCTTCTGTTACAGTTAGTGAGCAGTGTGTTCTGTCCTGATGCAATATGCTTTAGAGCAACATGTATTTCTGTATGTCACCTACATGAAATATGGATCTGCTAAAATGTACTGACATAAATTTCATGATGAAAGAGCCCATAAGAGACAAACAATTCATAATTTGATAAATAAACTTAGATTAATGGGACTTATGACAAGAATACAAAACATAAGCGGGGAGTGCTTACTGGCGAAAAGTTAGATGACATTGAAGCCAGACTTGAACACACACCTAGAAAATCATAGAAACGTCTAGCTCTAGAGAATGGAGTGTCAAAGTCTAGTGCAAGAAAGGCAACACAACTGCTGAAGCTTAGACGCTATAAAATAACAGCAATCCACACATGCCTTGCAGCTGCACAATCCAACCAGCAGGGTTCATTTTCACAGCTGGTTTCTACAGTCTGTCACTGAAGGTGAGATTGATCTGCAATTGACATTCATTCCTGATGAAGCATGATTTCACTTGCAGGGATACATAAATACACAAAATAATTGCTACTGGAGTTCACAAAATGCACATCTAACTGACAAAGTTCTGCTCTATCCAGTAGAAGTTGGTGTCTGGTGTGCTGCAAATGCAAGGATTGTTGTACCTGTGTTTTTCTAACAAAAAACAATTAATTGCGAAAGATATCTACATGTAGAGGGACAGCATTTTCAACACCTCTTGTGATATGTGAATTGTAACTATTTTATTCTGAATGTTATCGGCCAAAAGGCATATTGATTTGTTGGCAAAATTCATATGCACCTCACAGCCAGCAACGCACCAGTTGCTATGAAGCCCAAATCCATGGAACAGGTAAACACAGTAAAAATCATCCCTTTATTTCATGGTAAACAAATGAAAGCAAACAATCTACATATGTACAAAAAACTACAACCTGTAGCTGCAAACACCACCTAGTGATAGTGGAAGGATCTATTCACACAAAGGCCGTGCCATAGCTCAAGTGGTTAGTTGCTGGCTTCCCACCGCAGCGGCCCGGGTTCGATCCCGGGTCTGGTCAAGTGGGATTTGTGGTGGACAAAGTGGTGCTGGGGCAGGCTACAATAGGCCAATCAGGGGCCGCCATGCTGAGTGGACCCAGTAGGACTCCACCCCCCACTTAACGAATTTTAAATTTTTTAGACTATTAGCACAAAGTGCTTTCAAAAAGAAACTGTTGACCTCATCAAAATGCAGTCATAAGTGACGAAATTCCTCTACAATACTTTGGATACAGCAGTTACAAATGATGATGCTTATTTACTGGAGTGAAAGTGTCGACCTGGCAAGTCTGGTGAGTGACCCATTTAATGTTGTGTCTGCCTGTTGTTTCAGTCCTTTTGTTTATAGGTGCTGTCATAAGAAGCAAGGTTCCATCTGTCTGTATGTTGCTTAGCTGCAGACCTGTGGAACTCTGCCTATCTGAATGCCATATATCTTCTCTTGGGGACCTACCACAGATCTCTGGAGCATGTTGATGAGTGAGTATGACAAAGACATAACAAAACAATTTCTCTAATGAATTTACTGGTATTCAGGTGGATTTCTCAGATGCTGAGAGGAGCACCTACAACGGACAAAAAACCAACAAAGCTTCGTCATAAAATAACCCACACTGGTGGATGACGACAGTGTTCAAACCCCTTGTACAAAATTTTTTAAATCTTGTAACATATCATTTCTCTGATGGGGCCTTGCTAGCCACAAATTACTACCTCTTACTATTAGACCTTTTCCCACCTCATGACTCAAGGTACGCGGGTTCAAAAACCCGGCGGAGGTCGTGGAATTTTTAAGGGCGGAAAAATTCAGGGAACAAGTCCTCCGGGAGGGACTTTAAGCCGTGGGTCCCGTGTCGTAGATTTACGGCACGTAAAAGAACCTCATGTCTCTAGGAGACCTCTGAGCAAAATTAGGCCAAGTTTCCCGCCCAACTAGTTTCCAATTCCTCCGGTAGATGGGGGAAGTATCAGGTACCACTGCCAGAGGAGGGGGGGACCTCTCTGACAGAAAGGGACTAAAGTATTAGATACCACTGCCAAGTAGAGGGTAGAAACCTTGCTGGCAGAAAGGGACTAGGAACCCCTGCCAGAGGAGGGACGACCTTGCTGACAGAAAGGGACTAATTATTAGATACCACTGCCAGAAAGAGGTTGGAACCTCACTGGCAGAAAGGGGCTGACAGTAAGCACCAGTACCGGTAGGGTATGGAGACAGTAGAAATTAAAGGGGGACGCACAATGGACCAGTAACCGGTCTAAGTGCATGGGGAAACCCACCCCCTCAATACGGAATATGGAATACTATTAGACCTTGCTGTATGTCACTGGTGTCAAAATGATCACTGTGCCATATAAAGGGTGAAATGAATTACAGTATTACATATTCTCAGGCTGTGAGCAATACCTACACAATTTCTGTCATTAAATATAAAAAGTGAATGTTTCAATCTACTGATTGAATTACAACTTCACAGAAGATTATCCTTCATTAACTGATATGGTGGGCAGACAATCTCTAGCTAGGTACTGAATCTCACCGTTATAATTTCACAAGAAAAACATCAAACCTTATATTTTTATGCCATATACAGTAATAATCAGCTCAACTTCCATTACAGGACACCCAGTCTATGTGCAACATGCATTAATGGAAAGGAAAACAATAACAAATGTACCTAATTATGTGTGTCTATTATAGACTGCTAGAAGGCTCAATAATTTAGTAAGAATGAAACTAACCAAGAATTCTGTGATAGTAGGAGCTGTGGAACTAAGTTCTTGCATGATTTCTTGTCGTCTATTGGCTCCAAGCCTCAGCAATCGTGAATTCACTTCTTCAGGCAGGACGGTCAAAATCTCCAGCAGAGGCCATACATTTGTCTGGCCGAATTTACCAATAAGATCTACGACTGGTTTCTGCCATGTAGACATCTGGAGGGCTAAATCTGCTAATGCTAAGCACAGCTGAAACATACATCATTGGCAACAACTTTAAACTAAAATGCATATCACTACCATACAAAATAATCTATTAGGACTTTTAAAACCTCTACCTGGGTGACTATAACAGTGTTTGTAGCATCATTCACTTGTCCTATATGTTCCAAGAGTGAATCACGCAAAGAATTGTGTGCTTCAGTTGGAAGCTCATGAAAAGATAACTGGATTTTGGTGCGCATTGTTTGAGCTGCAAAATAACATGATTCCAAGTCCCTCTTTTGATGAAGCATTTCATCAGCAACTTTCCATGAATAAACCTGAAACATAAGGTTGAAGCTCATGCTCACATAATAAAATTACATAAAACAGAAACATGTAAACTTGGAGTCACATTACAACAATCTGAAGTAACATACTACACTTCTTCAACACATGACACCTTAAAACTTCAGATATTATCGCTACACTACATTATGTTATCTGTCCAGTTATGTCTACGCTTCTATATATACAAAAATTTATATAACTGTACAAAAATGACATGCTAACCGATCTCTGTAACTCTCCCAGCCATAGCGATGCTTTTTCTTTCTCTGTTGGATCTGGATTGTGATATAAAGTAAACACTGCTTGATAGACTGCATCAAGAGGAGGAGAAGAATTCATTTTACTCGCGAAAATAATATACGATCACATGAAGTAATACTCGTCCCAACTAAGTTCTTTATTATACGTAACTACAATTTCCTTCCGGGCAACTTAGAGCGATCTTCAGTTTACAAATTGTGCGCGTTTTATGTTTCATTTGTTAAAGTGAATCAAGATGGCGCCATGTAGAAAGAAGTAGTGACACCGCAGGTTATTCATGAATCCTCTTTCAATTTAAGTAGAAAAGTGATATATATTAGGATGGATATTGATGGGTTACCTATAATTGGCCCTGGTGTGGACTATACTCAGGTAAACCAATTCATGTTAAAATAATACCTAATCAATTCCCGTCCTGGGCCTATTACGTCTGAAGATTTGTTATTACCTTTACTGAAAACATATCTCTTGAAGATCAAAGAAAACGAAAAATGTTGCTCTGTATACGAAAAGCTCCTTCTTAAATGTGTTTCCCCTTATAAAGGAATTTTCATTGAGCAAATGTATAACTAAAGGAGTATTATCTTTTGGGATGTGACTTTTGTAGTCCGGTAGATTACAGACGTTTCGGACGAACGTGCTGCCTCGTCTTCAGCTTTGAAGAGTAAGCCAAGCAAGTCTCCAGTAAGAATCAGACGTCTGCCGGACTATACGGTGTCACATGCCATAATGTAGCACTCTTAATAGCCACTAATATGAAAGTTTCAAAACGAACTTAACTATACAACTTTATAATACGAAATATGACCAGGATCACGGTTACCCATTTTACCATGTAATTTTAAAATATTCCCAGTTATTTTAGTAGGATAAATTATAGCATGCTTGAGACATATTTTCCAAGTCTTATTTTAAAACTACATTGTGTAATTCTTGCATGTAGATTACCGAGTAAATGCTCATTGATATTCACGAGTCCAAAAGGTTTGTCACGATTATTACAGGAGGCTGCTAGTGGAGCTGATTTTTTTTTATGATCGAAGGTTAAGTACAGAAGATTGTTTCTTCACAGCTGCTTGTTCACTTCATTTTGGCAAACTGATTTTTCCAAGGTTGGTGCCATTCATCAGAAGAGGACATTGGCATTTATAAATCACTTCATCACAAACACGGTTTCGTTCCTTAATAAATTTTCACGTTCATGTGAACTCCGTCTTCAGAAGTTTGATGCACGGGTACAGAAACTTGAGGCTTCACTTAGTATTTTGGAAGCAAAGGTAATTACTTTACTGTACTATCCATTTCCTGAATATAGTGTGTTGAAAATTTTGTATTGTTTTATTTGATACCCTTGTTTCCTGTCAACTGTAATGTGAAACATTTTACAGTTGAGTTCAATTTCTGGGCTTGAAAATGTGACATTGGAGCAACAGGTTGATATGAATACTGAGAAAAAGATGCCATATGCCAAAGATGAATCAAAGCTACAGGACGTGAAAGAAGTGAATGAACCAGAGACACAGACAGATCACATTCAAAAAGTACCTGAAGAAGAAATGACAACTGCTGCTAATAACCCTCAATATGCCAAGTTCTTCCGCATGATCCAGGTTGGAGTTCCAGTCCAAGCAGTGCGTTTGAAGATGCATGCTGAAGGCCTTGACCCAAGTATTCTGGAGTAAGTAAACTGTCATTAGTTTGACAGGGTTCATTTGCTGATATACTTTATAGGTTGGGGCACTATGCTACAAGCCAGAAAATCATGGGTCATTCGATTTTTCAATTGACCTAACACTTTCAGCCACACTATGGCCCTGGGGTCAACTCAGCCTCTTGACAGAAATGAGTACCAGGAATCTTCCTGGGGGGTAAAGGGCAGCTGGCACATAAGTCTGACAACCTCACATCCATCTGTGAGCTGATTGTCTAGAAAATGTGGGAGCCTTGACATCTCACAACCGTGTGCTTTCACGGCCTGTTACAGGGATAGCTTTACCTTTTTACCTTCACTTTATAGGTTAAAATAAAATGTGAAATTACCATCTAAGTATGTCCCATTTATTTTCTTACGCAATTAAATGCTGTTGAAACCCCAATATGTGTCAGTCATAAATTGATGTGAACCATCGTTAAATGAAATTCTCTTGATAATTGATGCATTGTACTATGCTGTATATTGTTGCCTCATGCTTGTTATTTTTTTTCCTGTGTGAGTACAGTGACATATGGCATCACTGTGAGGCTCTTGGGGGGTGAAGCATTGTACTGTTTAAGTATGTACTTCACCTCTGAAGAACCACACAGTGATGCTGCATATCAGTGTAGTGACTTGACATAACACAAGCTTGGGGCAACAATGTGCAATGGAATGATGCACCAGTTATCAAGAAGGCTGCATTTAACAGTGGTTCACATCAGTAAACGTAATTATATTTGAGTTGCTGATTATACAAATGTTAGCACTTAGTTTAAATCTTGTATTAATATATGTATGTAGTAAAGATGATCATTCATGACCAAAATATGTAAGGGTTTTAATAGAATTTAATCAGTGTAAGAAATAATTAGATTCGCTTAGACTGTTATTTCACATCAATCAGACACATCTTGCTTTACTCGTCAGGGACTTGTAACGTGGCACCAACTCACCATTTTTGAGGGATGTAGAAATAAAAACAAACAAACAAGACTTCATGTCCTCTTCCTTGCTGCTTGGATTATAATACCATTAACCTCCACTGGCAATGCACTCAACTACTGTAAGGTGTAGGTGTATGGTTCAGCTGCCAGGGGTTGCACCTATTACCAGTACTAAATGTAGTCCCACATATTTCTTAATGCACTGTTGTAGCTGTAAGCAATTTGTAATGAAACTGTAATTTTATAAATACAAACCACTCCGTCCAATGTGGACATATACTGATTCTACTGGGAAATTCCTGAGCAGCTAAGCAAATGGTGGCTAAAACTTATCTCCCTTATATGTTTTGGTCCTTACGGGCCATCTTCAGACGGAACATCATTACAAACTGGAAACTACCATCACAATAGGTGTTTTGATTTAAAATACATACACTTATATCCTATAGTGCACAGTACGCATAAAGTTGAACGTTTCACAATCACAGCAGCTTCCTGGTGTTTTAAAGTTTTTAAAAGTTTTTAGATGTTATTTAAAAAACATTTATTGTCAATAGTTAAAATTTTTTAAACCACATAGGTTCGTGTCCGTACTCCTATTATCCTTCTTGTATGGGGCAGATTTTGTGCCGCCTGTCTATCTTGAGGAGGTTCTTGATGTTGTCCAAGGTTTGTTCGTGGCATACCTTCCTAATTTAAAAAAAAGGAAAGGATTATGATATTGTCATGTGTCCGGATATCCATGACAAATAATTACTGGGTTGCAGCTTTAGATGAAGCTGTTTATTGGAGAATTACGCTAGGTGGAACTACAGACAATTGCCACATATAACACTTCATAACTGCTAACAATGATTACACTCTAATATTCCTTGTAACTATGCCACACGAAGGCTTCTGTTGGTTATCCTCTTGCTTCTCTCTCTGATCACATCTTATCTCACTTATCTATTGAAATCTACCCTCTTAAAGTATACCTTCATGTACTGCCAAGAGAACACCTTGTCCAAGGATTCTCTCTGTTTTTGACGCAACGTTGGGTAGTATGTCCGTTGCTGCAGGAACTCAATTCTGTCTCTGTTACCTAGGCAATTCCTAGATAGTGGTCTGTCTATGTATTCATTGCCTAGGAATTGCTAGCTGTTGACTAGCAGTGGGTTCACCTGTCACAGTATTATCTGACAGCCTGCTGCCAATCATTTGACTGCTCAGGCCAAAAAATCATGAGACCTGTCTCAGCATGCACACCTTCAGACTTGTGGTGTGGTCATTAAACTGATAGGCTACACATACATATGAAATTTGTCTACAGTATAACCCATGCTAGGAATTTAAACATTCTTCTTGGGAAGAGTAAACTTCCCTTCATTTCTTTAATTATCTAAGGGTTTCGTTTGTGAACATTATGCTTCATGGTTCTCCATAAATAAAAGTCAGATAGGTTGAAGTTGGGGGGTGTGCTGGCCACAAACCAGTACCAGCTAGTCAGTTTTGATTCCCTTCCCCAGTAACAGTCCTGTTTGATCTTAATTCATGATGACTTTGATTAGCTTTCTACATGAAACTGTGATATCTTGAAACTTATGCCAGAATTTTCTTTTTCGTACACTGCCACCTTCGGTACACATATTGTGGCATATTTGCTAAAAGCAAGAACTGTGGAGCCACAGAAACAGCCATTGTTAGCAAATGGCTTTGAAACATTCATTTCTCAGCAATAGCCATGAAACAAACGGAACATCCATTGCTATGCGGCAGGTTCTTAATAAGCAATAACTGAACAGCAACACAGAAACAGTGTTTTCAGTGTAGTCTGTACTGAGATGTTATGACTGGGACAGTTTGGAGCAACAAGTTCAGTACTCAGTTGAAAGTCAGGCTGTGAACAGAAGACTAGGAAGTTGGTGTGAAATAGCTGCCAGCCTGGGAGTTGGTGAGTTGATGCACTGAGAAAGCTGTAAGGGAGTCTGATGAGAGGATATGGTCGGTGCAGTTGGTACAGAAGCTGAAGTGTCTCCACTGTTAGAAGACAGAGAAGAGTTTATGTATGCTGTAGTGATACTGATATTTGGAGTGTCTAATTCAGTGAGACTGTTATAGTTATGATCTGTAAGTGGTCAATACATCCAACCCCTACAACATAGTGACAACATCAACAACCTTTTGGAAGACAAACAGAATAACAAGCGTAAGCTCAACAAGACATTAAAATTATTTAACCAGAGTAAACAACAAAAGAAAGGTTGGGTTACTCAGGGAATAAGAAAGTCCAGTAAAAGGATGAGTTGGTTGAATAGTTTGCAAAAGAGAACAAATGTTACAGGAAAAGAACAGGAGATACATAAATAACGAATGATATATAAGAGAGTAATAAAGGAAGCTAAGAAGAGGGAAAATGATAGGCATATAGCTAATGTAAAAAACAAAACTAGAGCAATGTGGAAAATAGTGAATAAGGAATTAGGAAATAACCTGCAAAGGGAACTAGGAATAGAACTAAAGTGCAGGACAAGGAAAGAGACAAATCCACAGCGTATAGCTGAAATGTTTCATTTATATTTCACGGACATAGTAGGAAAGCTTGTCAAGCAAAATAATAGTACGATGTTCTGCTGTAAAACACCACAGAGAATAAATACCTGTAATGAAACCATGTTTATTCGTCCAGTGACAGAAAACGAAATATTAGAAGTGGTGAAGAAATTTAGGGGGAAATTTTCAGCAGGTACCGACGAAATACTGGATTATGTGGTTAAAAAATGTGTAGAAGCTGTTAAAACGCCATTAGCCCACATTTATAATGCCTCTCTAGAAGCAGGTATTTTCCCAGAGAGATTTAAGATAGCAAAAGTAAAACCACTTAATAAAAAGGTAGACAAGGATATGAAAAATTGTAGACCAATATCCCTTTTATGTCCTTTCTCGAAAATCTTGGAAAAGTTGATGCATAATAGGTTACTCTCCTTTTTGACAAAAAATACCATATTAACAGAGGCCCAACATGGATTTAGGATGAATAGGTCAATTGAGACTGCAATTTACTCTTTTCTAGCAAATATACAGGAATCAGCTGAGAAAAAAGAAAAACATGTCGGAATTTTTTGAGATTTAACTAAAGCATATGATGCCATAAGTCATGACACCTTACTTTCTAAATTACAAACATATGGAGTTAGAGGTGTGGCAAACTTGTGGTTTAAATCATATTTGGCTTACCAGAAGCAAGTTGTTGAAATAAGTTGTGATGGCAAAAAATATACATCGGCTCCAAGAAAAATTAAGTATGGAGTACCACAGGGTTCAGTGCTTGAACCATTATTATTATTTTTATTATACATAAATGATCTGCCTTTGAATATCAAAGAGGCGAGGATAGTTTTGTTTGCAGACGATATAAATATTTTGGTAACAGCTGAAAAGGGACATATCCTGCAGCAAAAGATAAATAAAGTCATGAATGAGTTATATGGATGGTTCAATGCAAATAATCTTATATTGAATACTGAGAAAACAATAGCAATGGCATTTCATAATAGACAAGAAAGAGATTTGATGAAACCTCAAATCAAATTTGGCAAAATGGAGATCTCCTATAAATGTGAAACGAAATTTCTAGGTATACATGTTGGTGAACATATGGAGTGGACAGCACATATGATGTTCGTAAGCTCAAAACTTCATAAAGACTGTTACATGATAAAATCCCTTAGGGATGTAACAAGCCAACAGGTTATAAGGAGTATTTACTTTGCTCACTTCAATGCTTATTTGAAGTATGGTTTAATTTTCTGGGGTAGCGACCCAAAAAGTAAAATTATATTTAAATTGCAGAAACGAATTGTTAAGACTAATTAGTGGTGTGAGTAGATTAGCATCATGTAGACAACTTTTTTAAGGATTTAAACTTACTTCCACTACCTTATGTATATATATTTGGAATAGTATGCCATGTTAAACTACATTTAGAAAAGTTAGAACAAAATAACGTAGTTCATAATCACAATACATGCCAGAAGTTAAATCTCCATGCTCAGTTTTGCAGAACAAATGCCTATAAGAAAGGAGTACTGAACATGGGAATAAAATTATACAATAAAATACCAAATAAAATTAGGGAGATAGAAAAAATGACAGTTAAAAAAAGTAATGAGGTCATATCTGGTACATACATTTTATTCTGTAGAGTAATATATGTTAAATTAAAGATGGTATGTTTGTGAAAAGGGGATTTTTTTTTTAACTATAGAAATTGAACTATTGTATATTAATGTGTATGGAACGTTTTCCTATAGCAGTGATTTGACGAGGAAGGAAGAATGGATTGAATTGGTTACTCTGTTGGGGAATTTATGTTGTCTTAAATTTTAATAGTTTTATATAGTATGTTGGACATGTACACAATTTGTGTATGTAGTTAAATATTATAGTATTGTTGACTTTTATACAAATAATTTGACTTGTTCTATATCTGGAGGCTGTATTGCAAAATGTGGATTTCTGGAACCAATAAAAATATGAATATGAAGGTCAAGACCACATGACCTAACTTACGTGAGATGATCCTGATACGCAGAAGCCCCACACACTGGTTGCTTCTACCGCCAGAAAATCGCGTCAACACGTGGCAGTCGCAGAGTTTTAGAGAGATTTATCACAAAATATTTCATTTCCATTTTAGTAGAATTTTAATTGTTTTCATCTTTAATTTTATTATCTAAATATTTTAAAATTTTAACAGACTCAATTCATGCATTTGAGAACACTCAAGTGCACAACATGGATCCTTATTGAAGAATTAGATGCAATTCAACACCTGAGTCTGGTATTCTTGTATGCTTGATGATGACCAGGTATAAATGTCAAAACATTTAGCGTCAATAAAAACAGACGTTAATACGATAGTGTCTTTGTTTTAAATACAGAATATTGTTGTGTAGGCTGCATACTTTTGTATACATTTTATGTACCTTATTTATAACACAACAGGATGCATACAATTAAGGTAGTCTATGTAGTTTCCTGTTTTATTGTCTCAGGGTGCTAACAAAACCCTTCAGCGGGGAAGGCAGTTGTATTTTTCAGTTTTTTTTATATACAAAGGGCTATCCAAGTTCAAGATCTAAGAAACCAGAAATATGGAAGTTCCTCTAGCACAGCAATATCAGCAAATGAAAGTAATTTGTCATGCTTTACAATTACAAAAATTAACATCACTTTAAGATATAGCCATAATAAAACTGCATCTTAAGGGAAATAGGTTATGGTAATTAAGGCTGCATTGAATTGCCCATGGAGTGATTTCATTATATAACAGTTTTGAATCTGGGTGTTGTAATTATGCAGTCTTCCTGTACCTGCAAGTACCATATCATTATTCAAGTGTACTCTAGGATAAAGTTTTCCTTCCTGTTCTTTAAAAGCTTTAACGTTGATTATGGTTGAGCTGAGAGAGGAAAAATCGATGACATTGCTAGTACTTTGACGTGCAAAGTACACTGATCGGTACACTGATGAGAATGGTTGTTATAGCCAGAGTAGCCCAATTTGTGGGTTTGGGCATTTAAATGCCGCTAGTGGAAGCATATGCATGATAAATGCTGAGTAGTGCCACCAGTTTGTAGCTTCTAGCATAATGAATGTCATGGAGCAGATCCTTGAGAAGCCAACAGTTGCTCAGCTACACAAGAAATTTCCAACATTTTGTGGAACCCAGAGGTCCACTGCATGTTCTCAACAGCCTGCCACTGGTCCCTACCCTGAGTCAGATGACTCCAGTCCATGTCACCCCATGCTTCTGGCTTGTCCACAGAAACCCTGTATGCATTGTGACCTGTCCACCTCATCCTCATTTTGCCTTTTTCCTGCATTAATTGTAAAATGTTACTTTGCATAGTTGTGAAATTTTTGTTAGACAATGTGCCCTATTGCACAGCTGATCTCATATATTTTTCTGTCATGTATTTGTTGGACAAGTACAATTTTGCAAGGCTGACTGTACATATTTATTGATAGTAACTACAACGGCTGAAATTGTAATTTCTTATGGATCTATGGTGGACTAATAATACAATACAATTACACAACCGTCTCCAGCCTCGTACTGTTTCATCCCTCTTGGGTCCAAATATTTTCCTCGGCACATTTTTCTCAAACACCTTCAGCCACTTCTAGTGACACATTCTACACCTCAACGTTAAATGCTTGAAAGAGGATTATAGCAGATAGGTCTTGGTTTCACTTCTAGTCTCAAGACACGGAAATGGTTTAAACATAAACTTAACTGAAGTGCTTAAAAGGAGCCCTTCAAAGAAACACAATTAAGGCTGCTTGTAGAACTGGTCATACTGCCAGACTGAGCACCCACAGAGAATTTCATTGTGTTGAAAATCATTTGGTATAAAACCAATTTTCCAAATTCACATGCTGAATATCATAAGTTCATGTAACATATATGAAATGTTTCATTCTGTATATTTACAGCTTCTAATAAAATAATTTCATATCAGTCAGATTTATTTAAATGAATTTCATGTTTCAGCAACCAAGACATGGCTGTGCCAAAACTTGCACCCCAAAATGTGCCTGATGAGAGTTCGGACAGCAGCTTCAGTGATTAGATTATAAAACTGTGTTAAATGTGTATATAATGTATTATCTATTTAAATAAAAGGCATTTGTATTATACAGTTGTTTTTTATTGTTGAAAGCAAATTAGAACCTTATTCACAGCATTTAGAACTGGATCATTTGGCCCTGAAAAAGGAAAAAATAAAAGATACATTAATGCACTGTAACACTACTGTGTCTACTGAATTGCTAGAAATCTTCTAAGCAAAAGGTTTGAAAACTCCACAGCTTCATATAGGAAATTGTTTCAAACTTCCAGGATATACAAGATGTCAATGTAAAATAAACAAGTCACTATATCTTCAAATTCAATTAGGCCTATTAAGTGGTGGTATATTTACAAAGTGGATAATTTTCAGTCCAGTGTGACATACAAGTTTACAACACTTCAGTCTTTATTCACCTTACATGTTTTGATTCAAAAGAATCATCCTCAGAGGCGCACCACTGCGATCAGGAAACACTGTCACATGAGATGTTTTAACAATATGCACTTAAGCTATGAATAATGCTCACTATATAAATTTTGTTATTATCACAGTTTTGAATCAAAATAAGTAAGGTGAATAAAGACTGAAGTGTTGTAAACTTGGATGTCACACTGGACTGAAAATTATCCACTTTGTAATTAATAGTGTGATGGACCAGAATGAGACAAATCAAAAGGTGGTATATTTGTTGTAGCAATATGGTTTAGGGGAACAATGTGATACTGTAATAGCTCTTGGCACAATTCACCTGCAAGAGAAAGCAACTATCTTTCAATGCTTTCCTCTATGCCAAAGTACATGATGTTGCCTTCTCACAAACAAACTTTAATGATTTTCTGGTCATTAAAGGACCGAGCTTGATATGTGCTAATTTACTCCAGTCAACTTTTGCTTGCAAAATGATGGAAAAATAGCACATATTATACTATTATTGGACCTTAATGGCAAGTACAGAATTTATACATTCAGTGTCACACTGAGACCCTCTTACAACAGTTTCAAAAACACCTAACGAACAGGGCTTATTACAAAGAAAAACTTGGGAAGAGCCTTATAAGACAATTTAAAATACACTATTTTCCATAAGCAATTTCTCAGAAGAAATGATATTCCCTATGCTAATGTATTATATAAAATCATGATAATTACACCTTAAATTTGTGGATGTACATGTTGCAATCAAATGAAACAAAACTAAATGATGCCTCCTCCTAACAAAATGTATGGCCACCAGGTGTAAGGCTGTCAGATGTCCTGTACACATGAAATTGTCCATTATTTAATTCAGATGCTCAACTGCCCTGTATATGCATGAACTATATGTTAAATACCTTTAGCATTCCCTCTTCTCTCAATGCACCATTCAAACCCTTCTAACACCAATCTCCCATGTCCTCTTAATGTATATTTACAAACTATTTCTTAAAATTCTCTACATACCCTTTCCTATCTGATAACTGTAATTTGGTTTCAGTCTATTGTAAATTCTAAAGGGTTCTGACAATGGTGTATAACACTTGTGATTTCTGGGTTTTTGGACTTTGTCCTCTGATGGACAAGGTCCAAAAAAAAAAAGCAATCCTGATTACTGTAGTTCATACATTTAATGTGGGTATTCCTGATTTACACATCTTAATTTATTATCTCGTCCCTATCAATGCACCAATGCATCCTGACACACTTTCCCAGTAATGTTCCATTTTATCTATTTCAAAGATTTTCCTCTTTGACAATTCTCCATTCATTCATTCATTCATTCATTTATTGTATATTCCATAAATCCATATACATAGATATAGAACCAGTCACATAGTTAATATAGTACAATACAATTATAAATATATATATGTACAGCTTATAATCATTATAATAGATAAAAAAACATGTGTTAAATTTACAGTCTTACATCACTATACATAAAATTATGCAATATTAAAATTGTTTATGTTATTATCCTTATTTCTAGGCAAATTTGTTACTAAGGAATTCATCACATGTATAAAAAGAGTTTTGCAATAAAAATGTTGCCTACTGAATTTTAAAATTTTTGAAGTCATTAGATTTAGATCTGATTTTTGGTGGCAAATGATTAAAGAGCTTTACCCCCATGTAACATATTCCTTTTTGGAATTGTGTTAAGACTAGTTCGCGGATAATGCAGATCACAGATAGATCTGGTACTACAATTATGCATTTGTGAGTTGAATGTGAATAATTCCTTATTTAGTATAACAAACAGGGAAATCGACAATATATAGTGAGCTTGTAGGGGGAGGATATCCAATTCTTGAAACAAACTATGACACGATGTTCTCTTTGTTGAATTTGTTATAATCCTAATTATCCTTTTCTGCATCCTAAACACTTTTATACTATGTGGGGCGTTACCCCAGAATATTAATCCATATGTTATTATAGAATGTACATAGGAAAAATACATCATTTTTAATGTCTCCAGTGGTAAAAAGGATTTAACTGATCAGACTGCAAAACAGGATCTGTTTAACTTATCAATTACTGCATCAATATGACTTTCCCATGTTAAAAAATTTTCAATTTTTAATCCCAGAAACGATATATTAGAAACACTTGGACTTTGATTGTTTAAATAACTTGAACATTTAAGTTTTTACTGTTTTTAGTTCTAAACTGTAGAAAATAAGTTTTTTTCATAATTTATTACTAGTTCATTTTTCCTAAACCATTAATTTATCATCTCAAATAATTTATTTATTTTAATTTTAAATTTCGCAGGATTCTTATCAAAGATAAGGATACTTGTATCGTCTGCAAATAATATTGGTTTGGATAGGTCAGATATAATTTTTGGTAAGTCATTTACATATAGTAAAAAGGGCACTGGGCCTAATACAGAGCCCTGACACACTACGCACTGTATTTCTTTCCATTCAGAACATTTACTCCCATTTTCATACAAAATTACTCTCTGGTATCTTCCTCTCAAATAGGATCTCATAAGTTTCTGAGCAGCTCCTTCAATTCCATAAAATTCCATTTTTGATAGCAATATATCATGATTTACTCGGTCAAAAGCCTTACTCAGATCAAAAAAAATTCCACCCGCTATATATTTGTTGTTTAAAGCCCTATAAATATTCTCCATTAGATTATAAGTCGCTAATGTAGTTGAAGAGTTTTTTCTAAAGCCGAATTGCTCCTGCGTTAGCAGGTTACGTGTATTTAAGTGTAAAAACATTCTTTTATATATAACTTTTTCAAAAATTTTAGAAAAGATTGGGAGTAAAGATATAGGTCTACAATTAGACATGTCGGTTTTATCCTCTTTTTATGTATAGGTACTATTTCTGAATATTTTAAACGAGACAATTCCTATAGACAATGACTTATTAAATATGTAAGTTAATGGTGATGATATATATGGTGCACTTCCTTTTATTAATTTGGTAGTAATTCCATCGTATCCACAAGCTGCTTTAAGTTTTATAGATCTTATCTCTTCTATTTCATTGCTATTAGTTGTTTTTAATACCAATTTCTGAGATGGTTTTGGAAATGAAGTGTATAAATAATCCATGAACTTCTTATCTGTTTCCACAGTATTATTTGTCCATTTCTTCACAGAATTGTCTATATCTAAAAAAGTTATTAAACGATCTTACTATATTTTTGTAGTCCTGAGTGATATTACCCTTTATATTTAAACAAGTCACATTAGTGGAAGCTTGGCTATTTCCAGTTATGTCATACGCCATATCCAGACATGACATACTTTATTTCAACAGTCCTTTTCTGACAATAGTCATTTGCTGTTAAACTCTGATATACTGTAGTCAATCAGATACAAGTTCAATGCAGATGCAACATACGTTGTTTAACGCATTATCAGTTCTAATACGTATCCATTATAAAACCAATCTGACATGCTTTATCTGTTGACAATATTTACTGAAACACAATTCACAGCATATTCTTATGTATACAATTAATTACTTAATTGCTGCACTTTGTTACTAGTTTAATTATAGTTAAAAATTTTTCCAACACTTTTAAAATGATAATGATCTGTTCTAATGCTTAAGAGTGAGGAAATATATCTTCAACTAACACACTCCCCTAACATGAATAAGAAACTGGGAAGCTTTCCTGTGTTAACTGCACTTTCCAAGTGTTTTACTGTGGAAACTGCCAGAACAAACATTCCAGCACTACACTATGTAGGAAATAAATAGGAAACAGTAGCAGTAAGTCAAAGTTGGGAAGCTTCGTTAAAGTATTAACAGTGTGGCGTTTCTTACACACTTTTTGTTGGGATGCCTTTCAAATGTGTAATATATTAAAATGGTTAACATCAACATTTTCTCATATAGGAGCATTCTGGTACATAATATTTCACAGGTAAAACATGCTTACCTTTCTTTTCTTGTCTCCACCCAATTCGAAGTGCTTACAACGTTTCAATGGAATCTGCTTACGATATTTGCATTCCGTACATTCCATTCTCAACACAATCTTTTTTGTTGTTTTGGCCTAAAACATTTTAAAATTGAATTTTATTCATCGGTTTAATACCTGTTTACACAAATCAATTTTCAAATAATAAATTAATTTACCTTTTTTCTAAAGATCGGTTTGGTCTGTCCTCCAAACCCTTGTTGTTTCCTGTCGTATCTTCGCCGTCCTTGGGAGGCTTGTCTTTCTTTGGATTTTTTATATTGGGTTACTTTATGTAATTTATGTTTCTTGCACTTCTTGCAGTACGTACGCCTCTGCTTTGGTACATTCACCTACATAAATTTACAGTTCCCATTAACCATTACAACACATGAGCGTTAACATGTTTAAATGGCTCATACGTCTCTTGCATGCCTCCATATTACTTCAGTAACTAAACCCCGGAAACATATTACTCTTATCCCAACCACAATTTGACAATCTTTGTTTCAAGAATAAGGATGACGATGGCTAAAAATTACTTCATGAATACTTCAAACAAACTTACCATCTTTCATCTGGGAAGAATTTATTTTCACTATAGATCCTACAGATGTCAGACCTGAGCAAAATGGCAACGTAACGGAAGTAATAGAATAACCACGTAAATAGTAATAGCACGGAAACGTATATCTTTGCCTCAGTGGTTAAGAGTAAAAAATGGAACCCAGTTAACACCAATAATTTCGTTACTATTAAAATTGACCTAACTGAACGCAGTAAAAGTTGTGTATGAAATTATGGCGATTCTAATTTTATTCTAATTTACACACTCAGTGTTTATATTTCTTATACAGTCTGTTATGAGACATTATTGCTCTGCATTTGTAGCCATCCAATACATAACCAGAAATTTGCGGGTAAATGGTCGGACGAAAATATTTATTATACTTACCGTGATGTAAAGCGTATGGTTCATATTATGTAATTGATCAGTTGACATGCAACAAGAGAAGAAGAATGCTTTAAATTGCATTGTTATTACATGGGTTTTCATGGACTTTTGCTCTACAGTGCTATTTGTGAAGGAGGGGAGGACGAGTAGGAAATCTATTGGTGGGGGGAGATTTGGACTATTTTACAATAATGTAAATACCTAGATTATATAACGACATGATGCATGATTTAGAAATAATTAAGAAGGAAGCAATCGCGACCTAATGGAGGTACTATCCTAGCATTCGCCTGGAGTGACTGAGAAAATCCACGAAAACTCAGGATATCCAGTGTCGCGCCCGAGATTCGAACTGAGCACCTCCCGCATTCGAGTCAAGAGTATTACCACAACTCCAGTCCGGTCGGTTGTAGGGATTCTTGTTCACCCCTTCGGGATTAAAAAAAAAAATTGCACAGTTCAGGCTAACAAATTTACATAGAAAGAAACATTCTTATTGAAACTACACAAACCGTTCTAAACATCGATTTACCCTTGATTTTAATTAGCTCTACATCATCTTCTGACTGTCCTAGAAAAAGCAGTAATACTTTTTTTTATAACTACCATTATAGTATCCAGTGGTAGGATTAGTGAATGAAGAATTAGAAAGGATTTGTTAAGATGTGATCGTGGCCCAATTTGAGGTACTATCCCGCATTTTCCTGGAGCGACTGAGGAAGACCGTAAGAAACATGTCTGGATAACCTGACGCCGGGCCGAGATTTGAATGCGGTTTAGGAGTGGTTAACCATTTGACCGCGACGTTCGGTAAGCCTGCTTATTATTGGGAATCGATTTATATATCAATTAATGATAAATGTAAGTATAGCAAGCTGAATATAAAATCTTGAATGCATACAAAGTATATTATTTAGTTACTTTTTATACGGTTCTTACAATTCGTTAATATTTTAAAACTCTTCATTAGAGTGAAAATGGCGAACTCTTGAAGCAGAGTATATGACAGTCGTGTTCGATAGTTAGTTATTGGCTTATGCTATGACCGCATCTAAAGTCTTGTACCCAAATGTAACAGATCTGTGCAGGTACTCTCCAACCCCTCGTCGAGGTAAGTTAGGAATTTTATTTTTTTAAAAGTTACAATTTAGAAACTTGAATTATTTATTTTATAATATAAAATTTTTCTTCCATTGGTACACTGTGGAGACTTTATCAAATACTGGCTTGCAGAAGTTCTTTGCGTCATCAACCAATCACCGGTTTATCGAGCTCCAAGCCCGCGCCATCTTCATTTTTGAACAAAGCCACTTGGAAGTGTGTTACGAGTTGTTCGCACGAAAACTCCACAGTAAATATGAGTTCTAAGGAAAATAATTCCGAAGTCGCTGTAGACAAAGTGACAGAAAACAGCGAAAAAGCGGGAGGTGATGTGAAAGCTGAAGTGAAAGGAACGAAGAGGCCAGCAGAGGTGAGTACAAATAAGAGCATTATAACTAATACTCGTGGGCTTGTATTGGCCAACGCTAGGAGGCAATGTCTATCATTAGTAGAAAAAATGTTATTTTCATTCGTCCTTTGCCGATTTACTAGTTTCGCCTTGTGTTTCGTCGTGTTTGATATTAGCATTGATTGCCATTTTATGTAATTCTGATGTGTGAAGTACTTATATCAGTGTTATCCTTTGCGTTTTGTTGCCATGTGAGAAAAAGCCGGCCGGGTATCAACGCGTACGTACTGTTATGTATCATGGCACTTTTATTTTCGCATAAACATTATTTCCGGGTAATTTTTCGTATTATTTTTATTCGACATATGGCAATTTGGTGTGTAAACTAACGAAATGTTTCTTTTTTGTGAAATTAAAACGTAGACTCGCTGTTTAAATTTCTGCGGGCCTTGATTGAGGCTAGGTTTTCCTATATTTTGAACGTGGCGGTCTTTTGATTTCAAGAGCTTTTGGGGTTAGAGGCTAGGTGAGAATCAATAGTAAATCGAGTTGGGAGCCTGTGTAGAGGCTATGATGATAAGTCTAGAAATTTTGTTCTCGGTAAACTTTACAGCAACATATGAACCAAGTCAAGTGTTTCACACAAAATCTTGTTTTATAGTTTGGAATATGGTTGCCTAATGACATGTTGGCGTCATCGTATTGTTTATTGATCGTATTAGAACCATTTTACCACTTGTCTCGGATATTGATCTCATGATCAAGGTATCGCCCTCCGGGAGATGTCCAGTAGTCCACGCAAGTGAATTTGTATAAATGAAGGTTTTTATTTTTAAGTGTTTCTTGTAGTGGGGATTGTCACTTGGGCATGACGCTTTTGTATGTACGCTTGGAGGGGGACGTTGACCTTCATTGTCCCCCCCCCCCAGCTTTCCGAAGTTCGAACATTATGCCCGGATGTTCCTTGCGAAGGGAAAGCTGCATCATGTTTGAGGTGGTTGTAGGAGCCATGATTCTACAGTTTCGGCCCATATTTCGTGCCCACAAGAACTATGTTGGGTTTTTAAAACAAATGCGTGTTATATAATTAGCATTATGTCTACTTTCCCGCCGAAATTCCGGAAGCCAATTTTTGGGCAGATGCTTCCCCTGATGGTCCCTCTGTTCCCTCGGAACCCTTATGTGCTTTCGTACGCGTCTTCCCCTTTCTCCCTTCCGGCGTAGTTTATCTCAGTAAAGTTAGCACAGAAAGAGAAAAAAGTACAATGATAAAGCGTGCCGAGCTGGAGGGAGACAGAAAGAACGGGATGGGAAGCGACCAGCTCCTAACCAATCAGCGGCGCTAGCTGCATAGAGGGAGGGTCGAGGACCTAGCCTTGCTACAGGTCTCTAGAAAATCGGTTGCCGTTGGCTAGGTATACCCTCGCATGCAATATCCCATTCGACCTCTTCCCGCCCTTTCTCTTCGGTCTCCGACGCGACGTTTTCAACATCCGTATTTCCTCTGGCATTTTCTTTCGTATGCCATTTATTGCCCCATTCATGCAGTGCCTTCATTCGGTGTTGGCGTGCTGTTCTCTTATATTTCATTTACGGAGAATTGATTGTTAAAGGTCACTCGATCTTACGATGCAATGAAGATCGGTGCGAAACCACCTCCCCTCCTATATGTTAACAATCATAAGGTCTGCAGCAACTGGAGTTCTATGCAAGCGAGCGGTTTTGCCGAAAATGTTTCCGCCCAATCCAAGGTTAAAAGTAGCCATTTAAGCCGACTAAACGGCATGAAACGGCGTGTATCATTTGCCTGGCACACTGCCGTAGTGTGTACGTACACTGTTATGCTCGTAACGTGACAGCTAGACCAACCGAAATCGTTACGGGAAGATCGTAGTTAATATTTCCCATGAAAGAACTTGTGAAATAATAAGGTAACTTGATGTCTAATTTGCAGTTCAAGCAGGAAACCAGTGAAAATATGTAACTTTTGTATCAGTACATAACTTTATCTCGGAAATTTTCGCGTGGTTCAAGATGCACTACAGTGAATGGGGCAGATTTGTCTTGACGTGATAGTTATAAGTATCAAATAAGGCAGTCCAGTATCATTGATCCTGTTTGTTCTTTTCCTTCTATTCTGGCAATTCTATTTATAGACAAAAAGCGAGGATGCAAAAAAACCCAAGAAGGAGGAGAATGGAGAGGAGGAGGAGGATGTTGAAGATGAAGAAGATGTTGAAGGAGAGGAAGAAGATGAGGAGGAAGAACTGCCAGAAGGGGAGGAGGAGCTAGATGAAGGCGAGGGTAAGGAAGCAATGATTAAAAATAGTTACATTACTGATCAGAAAGTAGATTAAATTTCCACATGTTTATAAGAATGGTGAGGGTTAATATAAAAATATTGTACATCCCTGTTGGAAATGCAGTTGTACAGAATCTGAGCAAGAGATGATGTTGCATAATTGTGCATGATTCAGAATTTGCAGTATTGCAGTACAGATTTTTGTTTGGATTGGAGGACAGTGCTCAATGATTTTTTTGTTTATGTTTTCCCATATTCATGCCACCAGCATTTTTATTTTGGTTTATGTGTGTAGTTAGCAGGAAATGTACATGTATCAGATTAATGCAGATGTTGAGTCTCTTACATGTTTAGAATCATAATGGACATATAACATTTCCTGCATGAGAGAATATATTTATTCAATGCAAGAACTTTAGAAGTAATATCATAGGTGTTTATATGTCTGAGTTGACTGAGTGTTACTGGGTTGTGTGTTTCTGGTGTTAGCTTTATAAGAGACTTTTTATATTGACCACCTGAAATAAGCGGGTAGTCAAATTCATCACTCAGTAGAGTACTTGAATGTTATATATTTGTCTCTGAAGGGACATTTAAAATTGTAAGGGGCATCAATTCCTTGATCATTCTTATGTCATTTAACTTAACATCGGCAGCAGAGCCACCTGTAAAGTTTTTGTCACCAAAGAATGTTATTACGGTGGTGGTTTTGAACAGAATCTGGGCCCTCATATCCATTCTTGCAGGTGGTTAGCCTTGATAGATTCACTTCTTCCTTGATTGCTGTTAGCTGTGACTGTTGGTGCTTTTATGTATTGGTAGCTCTGTTGTTTGTTATGTGAACTACTACTTGAATAAAGAACTGAACCAGTCTAAACATAACTGCCTAGCATGCATGTGCAAAATCTTTCAGATGTGGGGGTCAAAGAACACCAATTCTTAATTCTGTGCTAAATCTCTTATCAG